CTCCAAATGTCTTAGGAATTATCCACTTTCCGTTGTGACTATGTACCCCACGAGTATCCAATATATACAAATCATTCAGATATCTATATAAAATAAAAGGTGTGTTTAATTAAGTTATTTAATTTTTAATTTAATTTTAGTAATTAAATCATCTATAACAGTCAAAATTATTTAACTAGTTTTGACAGATACTAAATTTGCGCAACTGTTATATGAACCGGGAACCGGACCACACCTTTTTATGTTGGGTTCCAACAGAAGCGACTGCTAACAATTATTGACTTAATTGCATAGAAAATAAATATAGCAATACAATATATTATACTTACTCCCTAACAAAATTATTTTACCATAAGCACACATTCAAGTGTATATTAAAATTTGTTGGTTACCTACTTTGGAATATTATTTTTTGGGTCATCCGATTCATTTGCCAATCCGCCAAAGAGAAATATTTTGTCCCCCACCATCGTAAAGCTGTGACCTAAACGAGGACATGGCGACAAGCCATTATCTGGTGACTCCGGATACATTTTTCTCCACTCCCACTTGGTTGCCTGAAGTTCGTAGAGCTCATTTGAATATTTTCCATATTCAATCATGCCGCCAAAAACAAACATGCGTGTTCCCTCCACGACAAACCCATAAGCAGCACATCCGTTTGGCACATCACCTTTCAACACAGGCACATACCATTGATTAGTAACTACAAAAATAAAGGAAAACTAAATAATTAGTCTCGAGTCCTAAAATATGTTTGATGTGTGATAAAAGTTACTACTAATTACTAAACAATATTCTAAATAACCCTCAAGATCTAATATGGTATACCTGTATTATAAACGTGCAGCTCGTCCACAATTCCTTCATTACCACCACCAAAAACTACCATAAGTTCCTTTATATTTATTGCGCGGTGGCCATGTCGCGGCCGTGGTTGGGGACCGGTTGGGTTAAGGACGCGCTTCCAACGAAACCCTGAATGGTTGTTGGTTAAGTTATGATGTATGCTTTCCGTTTGATATGCGTCTAAGTCCATATCGATCCGTGCCAAACAGTTAACTCCAGAATTTTGGTTGTCTGAGCGTAGAATCTGATCAGAGTTGAGCTCGGCGGCTACTGCAACTCCCAAGGAATTAGTCGATCTAGTAAACTCTGTACTTTCCATATCACAGAGCTATATTTGATACCACTTATATGCAAATATCGACAGAATCTGCGAAGTTTGCTTCAATATATTTGTTGACATTAAGCAATCAAGCCGAGTTAATCAATACACGAATGCATTTTATTTTGTAGAACCTGAAATAATACATTAAATTTTATGAATTACAAAAGTAATATGGGATACAACGAAGGCAAACTAAAATAACTTTTAATGCACACTGTATATGTACATGTATGCTCGCAAATTTAGGTTGACCTGGCAATGCTGCCAATAGACGCTCCACAAATATATCAAATTTTAGTACCATTTTATCACAAATATTAAATAATCAATTAAAACGAACTTTACTTTTTTCGCATTATGCACTCTTACCAATTAATTAACTGTTAGGAGTTGAAAATTTTAGTAAAATCAATTAATTAAATGCCACAAAATCAATACACAATGTGCAAAAAAAGCCGAAGAAAACGACAGCGAGACATATAAAAAACTGTCGCAAGAAGCGAACCGAACTAGTTCAACATACACAGTCAGGGATGCTATTATTACCAATTTTTTAAAGATATCGATGTATAGATTCAGGGCTAGCGAACTACAAATATACTAAGAACCATTGTAACTTTATACAGAAGCAGCATAAGGGTTAAATACATAAATTATAATGCACAATTTCTTGTTATTCACATAAACTAAAATCAGGATTTTAATTGTTAGTGCTCTGTATAAAAGAAAAAACGTCTAGCAAGTTTTTTCGCTTTGGAAGGGTTCACCATGGTTCACGATGGTTTTTCAGTAGCAGCGTTTCCACTCGGCTCTGGTATACCACCTGCGATTACAACTCTGCCACCTTGGTTTTTATGGAAGTTTTAGTGCCGGATAGAGTAAGACATCACGACATACGTCGATAGCTTGCATTTTCATCGATAAGTTTGCCAGTGAGGAAAAATAACGTATGTGCGTCAAATTAGCGGCGGTGACTTAGCGTCGATTTTTGGTAGTTGGTATCAGAAAAGGAATCGGAATCTTTTATATGCATATATTAATGTTTTTAAGCACGAAACCAAATAAATTTAAATGCAGTATTGAAAAAAACTAAATTATTTACTATCTGCATTAATTTATTTTTGAATTTTAATTATAATATGGGTAAACAAAGGGGTTGAAAAGTTAGGTTTTCACCATTCTTTAAATATCTTAATTTAGGGATAATGGCCCCGAAAACCGCACAATTGAAGTCTATAGTTTCACCTAACCAATCTTGAAAAAATTATAGAAATCGATTAGCACGTTTTTAAGATGTTTGTACTACAGTGCAGCAACCTCGTTGCTAGCCCCATACAAAATAACCGTAAAAAATCACCCTTGCACTTGAACCCTAATATCTTTTCTCAGGGATAATAGCCCTGAATGCACGGTATACCACCTTGAAGATACATGTTTAAGAAAGCTTTACGCATTAATTCTAAACAACTCGATCAAGCTGTTTTTTAGAAAAATAACGAAATGTAAACACACCTCATGTTGTTCATTCAAAAGGGCTATCGAGCTACTAGCTCCAACGGGAACCGAACCACTGCTCGGAATCAGTGTTAAACAATGCTATACAATATTGAGCGGGAACAAATTAATTCAAAATACTTGTGAATGGATAATAAATGCAGTAATATATGAAATAATTGTCATTTTACAATAAAACATTATCTTTGGTGAAATAGACTGTTGCCGAAGACGACAACTATGCATTTAAGTGTTTAAATATGTATAATAACCAAATGTGGCAATATTTCAACCTTTATTGTTCTATTTTTCCGATAATGGTACCCAAATACACGGTAGTTTAGCATATAGATCGCGAATTATCAATCATTTTGCTTTTTACATCAAGAAATTGTTTTTGAAAAATTCGCATTCTTCTATTTTTCTTATTATACGCCCAATGCAAAATAACTACCTGGCAATATTTACATACTTATCATTTTTATTCATCAAAATGGCGATATTTAAACCCTTATTATTCTATTTCTCCGGAAATGGCAATCTGCATTTAAATTAATTTGGTTTCGTGCTTAAAAACATACATAAATGCATTTTAAAGTGACCGATTCCTTTTCCGATACCAAGTACCAAAATTCGACGGTAACTCACCGCCGCTAATTTGACGCACATAAAAATATTATAAAGTAAAAAACAATTAATCGAAATCGATTTATTTACGCCTCAAAGTATGCTAGCTAGACAAAAATGCGTCTTAATCACAGATCTGAGAGTGTTACTCACTGTTATAATTTAAAAACAACAAAAACTTAATTAAATATTGCTAAAAGCTAAGTATTAAAACTGTTCTTACATCGAGGGGTCAAGGTGCAAGCTAGATTCTACGGGCTTTCGCTAGGTGAGAAGTTTTCTGTATCTGCTAGTTCAATGCAAATTTGTTTAACTATTCGGTACTAAAGGAATTTATCAATTATTTGTTCTGCTCGATATATTTAAGTATTTATTCAAATAAACTAAGTATTACGTAACGCTTTTTTAAATCTTTGTAACGTTCAACCAGTGAAATAATTTAGAGTAAGTTGTTTCGCGACAAAAAAGGATGTTTTAGATATGAATTTAATTAGTTATGTATGGATTTTACCGCAATGGTACCATACAAGTAACCATACAGTTTTGGGAGACTAATAAATGGACTTGCAAAACAACATTTTTACAAAATAGCTTATAAGTTTCATTAAAACTTAAAGGTTTTCGAAAATTAAATTTTTAAAATGCAATGGAGTTCCTTATATACTCAATACTAAATAAAACTCATCAATGGATGCAAAGACATCTCGGCAGATTGTACGCATTGTTTCTAATGAGCTTATCACTCAGGTAACGCCGCAGTGCTAACGTAATCAAGTCAAACACACGACTGATAACTTCAGCACTACGATAAGTAGGACAAATATCTCGACTACCTGTTCTTTCACTTCGGATATGTATGTATAGATGCGTGTACACACATATAACAATTTCAAAAGGCTATAAATAGGAGGGTGGCTTGCAAATCAAAGCACAGTACACCGAATTACTCAGTGAATGGTATATTCCTTCTTAGTTTCTTGTCTGTTTTGATCATAAGGTAAAAATAATTTGATTTTGAAAGTGTGTGAATGGTGGATAACTTTATAAATCGTAGCATTATAACGACATAAAATATATATCAAAGAAGTACGTTTAAAATGTAATTGCAGTAATTCAAATGAAACCCTTCTCAGTTAGTAATCAAATTAATTGTAGTCACTGCTGTACACACAAATATGAATGCATACACAAAGAGTTAAGTGTTTACAGTTTTGCAGCAGGGTTAGAAGTTTAAGATTTGTGGCTTACTGATTTCGATCACATTTTCCTTTATTGTAATATGTGTATATACAAATATTTAGAACTTGTATATTATGTTAGATTTGAAATGTTACATAGATGCATAACAAAAATCAAAAGTATCATAAATCACATATTCTGATCATAAACGAGAGCAACAATGGTTATAAAAACTCTTTCTTTTTTTAATTTATATTTGTCGTATGTTGCTTTCATAATGTAGCTTAAGTAAAATTACATGGTTCATTTAAAAACAATTTTATATGTGCACAAATATAAACGTTGCTGAATTAAGCATGAGTGTACATTTGAATAACGCTTGCCCATGATGATCTGGCATCACTTACAGTGACATTTTGATAGTATACTGAAAATTATGATAAAATCTTTACTGAAAAGTATCGTATCTTTAATTTGATGGTGTTTTCGTCGCTTGAAAAAGTTGGTCACACTGTACATTTGTGTATACTAAACCAGTTACCCGTTGTATTGGCAAAAATAAAAATACGACCGTTTCTGGTAACGAGTGTATTACAAAAGTTTGTTGCGAAGGGACATAAGCATATGCAATAAACCTAAATGTTTAAGTTTACTTATATTTAGTGTACTTAAAATAATAAATTTAATCGCGTTGTGTTCGCGTTGGCATACTGATTCTTGCTGCCTGCCTGCAGCATTTGACTAGTGTGGTAAAAACGCGTGGCAACACCCATCTAACATAGTATCTAAACTCAATTATAGTTCGGTAAATAAATAATAATTAAGCAAATATAACTTTCCCCATGTCTGGCGAATACAAATATGTATATTTCAGTATATTAATAAAAAACATGTAATCATGCTTTTCTATGAAAGTATGGGAGCGTGCAAACGTATATGGATACATACAAATGAATGTACACGTAGGAACGGTGCCAATATGTGTGTATGTATGATATAGGGAAAGTGATATCATTCCGCGGCCTGAGACTGCAGATATCCACCAGCTGGTTTAGTTGCCATCTTGGTCGGGTAATAAAAATTAAGTTAGGAAAAGTAACAAAATCAATATTTTAATTGATATGTATGTTACGCATTAAATATTGTATAAATATATACATGAATAGTGCCTTTAACTGTCATGCATTTGATTTGGAAAACCAGATAGTCGCAACCAATATGAAATTTGTTAAGCCAATACAACTATTCACGCAAACCTATGTACATATGTACATTTAATCTGTGATGTGTGTGCATGACGTAATTTGTGCTCGAAGTCTAAAATTGCGTTTAGCGAAGGGGAGATGGTGTGGTAGACAAGTGTGTGTGTGTGTGTGTGTGTGTATATTAATTTGTATACAAACTTGATCTGAGCATTAGCACAGCCGAATAGACGCGCTTACCTTCGGGTGTTCTAAATTTTGACACAGCAAAGAGGGAACTTTTATGCCTAACATCTATATACGCGCATGTCCGTGTGTGCGTATATGTTAGGTCTCTCTCTTTCTCCTCCTAGTTCTGTTTGTATGTTTTTTGAGCCAACTGCCAAACCTTAACTGAATGTCAGTTAACCCAATTTACAAATACAGTTACATCTGTAACCGCAAAAAGCCTTCAAAATACAATAAATTCAACTGACCTCTGTGCTAATTGCATTTATTTTTCTTATGCCCTTGTACAAATATACATATATACCTATATATGTATGCATTACACGAAATGTGCATATACATAAGTATTTATATATACGCATTCATATAAAAGTAAGAATTGGAGTTAGTCGATATTTTAAGTATCAATGTTGAGCATTCCGCAAGAAGATCATGTTTATTTTTACATTATTGTTAACTTCCTCTTTCTTAAAACTTTGTACTACACTGAATCAAGAAAAAATCAATTAAGTCACTGATTAATACTTTGGAAAGAAATATTTACAATGTTTTGTTATCCTTATCAGTGACAATTGAGATATTCTCAAATATTAATAGCAGCACCAATGTGGTCAGGAATCCACCGGTTGAATCCACTTTGTGACGGAATAGTTTTACGTCATCACTTTTCGGAATGACGTCATTGCTTGCCTCGTCCAAAACATACTACTTATCTTGACTGACAGAAAACCTCGTGGCCTCCCTTACAAATATACATACATCTTTCATAAGTGCTTACTGCTAAAACATATTAAAAGAATACAATATGTATTTGAGAAGAAGTGAAATCGTTCTGCATTTGTTTTGTGTGCATACCTGTATATACATATACATACATACATTGTCAAATTTAATTTCTTATACCCTTGCAAAGGGAATTAAAATGTTGCCTCTCAAATTACAAAGATCGGCATATAATAACCAAAGATAATCAAGATTGCATTCCCCATACTAAATAGGGGGCAAATGTAAGATATAGTGGGTTGTATTCCAAAGATAGTTGCTAAATAGCTAAATGTTTTGGGTTTGATTCTCAATGATCTCTCTAAGGCCGTCAACAAGTTCATTCGCGCAATATTGATGCATACTCTCGGATCGAACCACCCGTTGTTGGACATCAACATTTTGCCCAGGCACAATGTTTTATTTTCTAAATACAGATGCTGTTAATGTGTACGTACGAATATGTGTAAATACTAAAACTAAACAGAACGTTGGCCGCAACTTTTATAGACACGAAACGCATGCATGTGTGTTTGCGTATATGCCATTATACATACATATGTATATATAAAGCAAAAAACTTGATTAAGAGAGTCTAGATCCTAAAACCTAAGAGATTTGTTCAAAAAAAGGATTTTAATATTGATTTTTATCGATTGCTTGAAAACGGCAAGTTATTGATTATTGAAAATAATCTCGCGCTGCACGCGCACTAGGAGGTTTTTAAGTTTTTATTCTCCAAATATCTTACGTTTGAAATGTTTTATATTATAGATATTATAACCAATGGCCACAATCGATGGAAGACCGGCACAGTATGGGATATCACTTAAACAATTACGCGAGCTCATGGAGCATCGTGGCAGGGAGGGTGTGGCAAAAATCAGTGATTTCGGTGGAATTCATGAATTATGCAAAAAGTTATATACATCCCCAAATGAAGGTTTGGTTTAAAAATCGGAATAACTTTTAAACATTCTAATGGTTCTTGATTCAGGCCTCAGCGGGTCAAAAGCTGATGAGGAGCACAGACGTGAAACGTTTGGGTCAAATGTAATACCACCGAAACCCCCAAAAACATTTTTAACACTAGTCTGGGAAGCGCTTCAAGATGTTACACTTATTATTTTGGAGGTAGCTGCGTTAGTATCCCTTGGTCTATCATTTTATAAGCCTGCTGACGAGGATGCGCGTAAGTAACCTTCTATTCTAGTTTATATAACAGAGACACGTATACTTTTCTTTATATTTAATTGTAGCATTACTACAAGAAGAAGATGAACATCACGGGTGGATTGAGGGTCTCGCTATACTTATTTCGGTCATTGTAGTCGTCATAGTGACAGCTTTTAATGATTACTCAAAGGAAAGACAATTTCGCGGGCTGCAGAACCGTATAGAAGGCGAGCATAAATTCTCCGTAATCCGTGGTGGTGAGGTATGCCAAATTTCGGTTGGAGACATCCTTGTCGGCGATATTGCTCAGATCAAGTATGGCGACCTTTTACCCGCCGATGGCTGCCTTATACAAAGCAATGATCTTAAGGTAAGCTGTCTCTCTTGCTCCAACTCAGCCGTTTTCATATCTGGAAAATGTTAATTAGACAGAAGAAATATATTAAATTTAACGTGTTAACGGTCAATTATAGTTAATTGTCAAATTATTGTTCCGCTAATTTAAACAAGTAAAAAATTGTAGTCGGGACCTCCCGCCTAGGGGATACCCTGAACCTTCTTCTTCCAACATCAAATGTATGTATTTATTCTATTTTAGAAGCTATATGTCAAGTTTGATGACTCTACCTCTTATTATTTACTAAAATTGCCCAAAAAATAGGATATCGATATCGATTTCTTGGCAACGGAGTAATTTATCGATTATCGGAAACAAACTCGATCTGCGCAGGCACTAGGAGCACCTACATCTAAAATTTCAAGTCTAGCTCTTATAGGTTCTGAGATCCTTGCGTTCATAGACGGACGGACGGACAGACAGACGGACATGGCTAGATCGACTCGGCTATTGGTGCTGATTAAGAATATATATACTTTATGGGGTCAGAGATGCTTCCTTCTGCCTGTTACATACATTTGGATTTTGCACAAAGACAATATACCCTTATACCCATTTTTAATGGGTTCAGGGTATAAAAAGGAGAGAGAGAGCTTGATCTCTAAAATACAGTGTATTTTTTTGCGATGTTCTGTTATGTTCAAGTATATACACATTTAAACCCTGTTTACCGACGATTGTTGAGTCGCAGAGTTTATCATAAATTTATTGGTCTTCCTATTTAGGTGGACGAGTCTTCCCTGACTGGCGAATCAGATCATGTTAAAAAGGGCACTGAGGCTGATCCAATGGTTTTATCCGGCACGCACGTTATGGAGGGCAGTGGCAAAATGGTAGTAACAGCTGTTGGCGTTAATTCGCAGGCCGGTATTATTTTCACTCTGCTTGGAGCAGCTGTAGACGAGCAAGAAGCAGAAATTAAAAAGATGAAAAAGGGTATGTATTAGTATTATTATATTTCAAAATTTTATCCGTACACCCAGATAATAATCATACCCTATTTCAAACTGGATTGAAAACAATAAGCAAATGCCAATGATTTATATGTACGTTTGTTATAATTGTCTTGAAACCCAATACCAAGACCGATTAGTGAATTTAGAATATTTTGCTGAAAGTTGTCTAAAGAAGCGGCGCTGATTAGAACTATAATTGTCACTCAACAATATGTACATTATCTTACGTACCTACAAAATAAGAATTCTACTGCCGATAATCTTTAATTATATCGTTTATGTTTTATTTTTATTTTTTCATATTCCAATTGTCATACGTGAATTGCATGACGTGAATTGATTGACCCATCTTTGAACTCCTTCATCTACCTCAATAAAAAAAAAACACCAAATCAATCAATAAACCAACCAATCAACCAATCAATCAATCAATCAACCAACCAACCAACCAACCAAAACCACCACCACTACCAACACCAAAACAATAAAAAATAACATATCGAATCAACAAATTAAATGCTTTAAATTATGGCTAATTTATCATATATCAACGTAAACGGATTAAAACAACGAATCAAATATTTCATAATTCAGAAGCTAAAAAGGCGGGCAAGCAAAAGAGCAAGAGCCTGACAGGTGAATCACTTACAGTTAAAATACTTCTATCTAGTTAGTTTCAACTTACCGTTTTATCATAAAAAGGGAAACACGTAAGGCGATAGATATTTTACAGTCAACTAGTAAAAGAGTAAGATAATTTTGTACAAAGATATTTTGAAAAATGGGCTTTTAAGTAAAAATGAGTCTAAATAAGTTAAAAAAAAAAACTTACATAAGTAGGTAAATAATGTTTTTTGTAGAGAAATGGAAAAAGATCTTATGTGTAATACTTACATACATAAATACAGCACAATATACATGTGTCAATAAAGTATTTGTCATTGTTAAATGGGGTTTTTCGTAAAGTGCTATAGGAAAGCAGTTTAGTACATAACGAAAATAAAATACCCTTGCAGACTTAAAACATAAATAATATTTACCATATTAAATATGAAAGTATTTAATTCTAGAGATTTGTTTATTATTTAAAATGTTAATAATTGAAAAGCAACTTCTAATATCTTGGTGTGGCTGACAACTCGCCTATATGGTATTTAAATCGAAAGTATTTAATATGAAAGTATTTAATTCTAGAGATTTGTTCATTAATTAAAATGTTAATAATTGATTAGCGACTTCTAATATCTTGGTATGGCTGACGACTTGCCTATATGGTATTTAAATCGATATGATACTATATCGATAAAGCGCGCATAACGTGTTTTTGCCAAATACGTTTGCACAAATAATAATATATTTAAATGAACTAAGTAAAATTCTCATGAATCCTTCTAATTTTCCTACAAAGTGAGTGTGCTTGTGCTTTAATATTTGTTTGATTTAGAATGAGCTTATCCCACGAAACCTCAGTTTTCGCATAATTATTCCATGTTGTAGATTTATCAAGAATAGTATCCCTCTGATGATTTTAAGTACAAATTTAGTATTAACCTGACTTATACATGATTAGGAATTCGTAAAGTTATAATAAGTTTACTTTCACAATGTTGTCTGCAAGGGTATAATAAATAGTTTATACTCAACAAATAATAAGTGTGTGATATTAATAAATATAATACAAATTTGCGGATCATGCAGGTGAGAATGACGGCCGAATACCAATAAAAGAAACATCCCATGTTACGCAGCCACGAAGTGCTAGTGAGGCTGTTAAGTCGGAATCAGACGGAAATCACGTGCAGCAGTCCTCAACGCCAGCCCCTGAAACAGGACACAAAAAGGAAAAGTCGGTGCTGCAGGCAAAACTTACGAAGCTGGCTATACAAATTGGCTACGCTGGTTCCACCATAGCTGTTCTCACCGTTTTTATTCTGATTATCCAATTCTGTATCAAGACGTTCGTGATTGATGAAAAGCCATGGAAGAACACGTATGCTAATAATTTGGTTAAGCATTTGATTATTGGTGTCACAGTATTAGTCGTGGCAGTGCCTGAGGGCCTTCCACTGGCCGTAACGCTATCTTTGGCATATTCTGTGAAGGTAAGTGTATCGTTTTTAACATTTTTTAAATACCCTGACACACATTGAAAATGGGCGTTATCAAAAAATAAAATGAGTACTAAGATGAGTAATCCACTATATTTATATAAATAATAAATTACAAAACGACTTGCATGTTATCATCTAGAGTGTAATAGCTTCCGAATTATTGTATAATCTCTTACTTTCTCTTCATCGATTTCCAGAAAATGATGAAGGATAATAATTTAGTGCGTCATTTGGATGCTTGTGAAACTATGGGTAATGCTACTGCAATTTGCTCTGATAAGACTGGTACGCTTACGACAAATCGTATGACTGTTGTACAATCCTACATTTGCGAGAAATTATGCAAGGTGCTACCAACGCTTACTGACATACCACAGCATGTGGGCAATTTAATCACAATGGGAATATCAGTTAACTCGGCGTATACCTCCAATATAATGGTAATTTTTAAAAATTACTTTTAAACAAAAAAATTAATTTTGTTATTTCTATAAATTTTTTATAATGCTTATAGCCTGGTCCAAAGCCGGGCGACATACCAATTCAAGTGGGCAACAAAACAGAATGCGCTCTTCTGGGATTTGTGCAGGGGCTAGGTGTTAAGTATCAATCAATACGGGATGAAATTCCGGAGGATAGATTCACTCGCGTTTACACCTTTAACTCTGTACGCAAAAGCATGGGAACAGTAATACCTAGACCTAATGGTGGATATCGATTGTACACGAAGGGAGCTTCGGAAATCATAATGAAAAAGTTAGACCTAGACATAGAACACTGTTTTTAGCACTTAAGATTTGCTCATGGCAAAAAAATATTTTCAGATGTGCTTTTATCTATGGTCATGAGGGGACATTAGAAAAGTTTACACGCGACATGCAGGAGCGTCTAATACGTGAAGTAATTGAGCCAATGGCCTGCGATGGCCTGCGCACAATTTCTGTCGCTTATCGCGATTTCGTGCCTGGGAAGGCTGCAATCAATGAAGTGCACATTGACGGCGAACCCAATTGGGATGATGAAGAGAATATAATGTCAAATCTGACCTGCCTGTGCGTTGTTGGCATTGAAGATCCAGTGCGTCCCGAAGTACCTGACGCTATACGCAAGTGCCAACGCGCCGGCATCACTGTTCGCATGGTCACTGGTGACAACATTAACACAGCACGTTCAATTGCCAGCAAATGTGGCATTTTGCGACCGAACGACGACTTCCTTATACTGGAGGGTAAAGAGTTTAATAGGCGTATACGAGACAGCAATGGTGATGTATGTCTTTACCTATGTCGAAATGAGTTGGCCTTATGCTGTTATTATATGTTTTGCTCCACAGATCCAACAGCACCTCCTTGATAAAGTTTGGCCCAAGTTGAGGGTTCTTGCTCGTTCATCTCCCACCGACAAGTACACACTGGTTAAAGGTTTGAACCATTTAACATAATATTTCCATTCATATGCACACCTATTTAATTTTTTTTTTTTTTTTTGTAGGAATGATCGACAGTGCAGTAACTGATAATCGGGAAGTAGTTGCGGTAACAGGCGATGGAACCAATGACGGTCCAGCCCTAAAGAAGGCCGATGTTGGATTCGCAATGGGAATTGCCGGCACTGATGTAGCTAAAGAGGCGTCGGACATCATTCTCACCGATGATAACTTCAGTAGCATTGTCAAGGCTGTTATGTGGGGACGCAATGTTTATGATTCAATAGCAAAGTTCTTGCAGTTTCAGTTAACAGTAAATGTCGTCGCTGTCATTGTTGCATTTATTGGCGCTTGTGCGGTACAGGATTCGCCGCTAAAAGTAAGTTTTCGTTTAAAAATATTCCTTATAAATTATCAAAAAAATTTAGGTCTGTAAAAATATACAACTACCCAATATAAATTTCAATGTAGGCCGTTCAGATGTTATGGGTCAACCTCATTATGGACACACTCGCATCTCTTGCTTTAGCAACGGAAGTGCCGACGCCTGATCTTTTGCTTCGTAAGCCATATGGGCGCACAAAGCCACTTATATCACGCACAATGATGAAGAACATATTGGGACAAGCCCTATATCAGTTGGTCATCATATTTGGGCTGCTGTTTGTTGGTATGTTAAAGCACGCCAGATAGCAACAAATAATAATATACTAAATGGGCATTAACCACATAAAGTAATAAGGAATTGATAAAAAAGTTGTATGTATTATTTAATAGGCGATTTGATACTCGATATCGAATCTGGACGCGGGCAAGATCTTAACGCAGGCCCAACCCAACATTTCACAATAATATTCAACACGTTCGTCATGATGACACTCTTTAACGAAATCAATGCTAGGAAAATACATGGTCAACGTAATGTTATTGAGGGACTCTTCACCAATCCCATATTTTACACCATCTGGATATTCACAATGATTTCTCAGGTCTGTTAATTTTCTTAAGCTACCAAAGCTTTTTATTTATTACATTTTGCTTTAGGTTGTAATTATCCAATACGGAAAGATGGCTTTCTCAACAAAAGCGCTCTCCCTCGACCAATGGTTGTGGTGTGTATTCTTTGGAATCGGAACACTAGTCTGGGGACAATTAATCACTTCCGTGCCTACAAGAAAATTGCCTAAGATATTATCGTGAGTAAATTTGTTGTTAATGTTTTTGCTTACGATCGCCCATCAACGTAATATTACGTAATATTAATATTAAACCCATAACTCTCATCACACGAAACACTGTATTATTCAGCCCCTTCAATTAACAGAAACTCCGATTTTTAATTCACAATTATGTATTTGTTTTTTGCGCAATCAATAGTTAAAATTATCATGTCCTTTATGCCTCCTTCCTAGCGCTCCTGAGTATAACGCTTGATTCCCTTGTATTGGCTTGCAGCTCACACGCACATATCCACACAACAGATACACACAACTGCAGATAATATATATGTATGCATATAATATTCAAAGTATTTTTAGTGTTCATAGATAATTAGGTTGTTGTTTACAATATTTTTATTTTGATTGCAATAAATGTATGTTACGCATGTTATATTTAATAAGAATAAGTATCTTCTGTTCACGTAAGTATTTAAGTATATTAAATATAATAAATTAGGTTTAACTATTAAAATAATAAGATTCTTCGATAATCATCAGCACAGGAATAAAAAGTATTCTTAGAAATATATATGTATAATTCAATACAAATATTGAGTAAGTCTGGGTTAAATTGGTAACGAACAAATAATACGTATAGACAAATTATTTTGGTACTAAGTCCGTCAGACGTCCAAAGACGTTAAATGTTGTACTCATTACTCTTTAGACCATCGTTTAATGAATCCAAGTACACCTTTTGCCTCATTAACAATGGTATCTATATGAAGATTGAAACAGAGTTTAGAATCAAAAATAACGCCTAGATCCTTAACTGTTAGTATACGTTGCAAAGGGATATTGTCGATTGTATAACTAACAAGATAAGGTGTAGTACGATTAAAAGTCATAAACATACACTTTGAACAATTTAGATGCAATTGATTGGCCGAACACCAAAGTTGCATAGCGTTCAAATCGTCTTGTAGACGAGAATGATGTAGGGGGTTAGTGTATGATAGAAAAAGTTTGACATCGTCCGCATACATGAGTACACGGGCATGTGATATAACAGAAGGAAGATCATTTATAAAAAGTGTAAAGAGTAAAGGTCCAAGATGACTACCTTGAGGAACACCAGAAGTAACGTGAACCCTTTTAGAGGTAGTCAACCTCAGTATTACTCTTTGGGTCCTACCTTTTAAATAAGAATTAATCCAAAGTAAAAGGGACAGAGGGAAACCTATTCGGTCAAGTTTAAAAAGTAAAATGTCATGGTGCACAGAGTCAAACGCCTTGCTGAAGTCAGTGTAAATGACATCAGTTTGCATTTTCGAAAGGAAAGCATCATTTACCAAGGAAGTAAACTCAAGCAGATTGGTCGTAGTTGACCGATTCTTTACGAATCCATGTTGAACAGGGGAAACAACTGATTTGCAGAAATGCTGCAAATTCGAAGTGATTATTTTTTCAAATAATTTAGGAATAGCAGACAGTTTTGCAATGCCCCTGTAATTTTGTATATCAGACTTCCCACCTTTCTTGTGAAGAGGAATGATATAAGATTCTTTCCAAAGAGATGGAAAGACAGAAGTTTCAAGGGATAGATTAAAAAGCTTTAGCAATGGATAGAAAAGGGAAGAACTGCACTCCTTGAGTAGACAACTAGGAATATTGTCCGGCCCAGGAGAGTAAGAAGATTTTAGAGAGTTTATAGCTAATAGGAGAGAGGAGTGTGAAATAATGGGGGGAGGTATAGAACTAGCGGAGGAAATAGTATAAGGGTAAGAATTAGTATTAGGACAGACTGAAGAGTAAGTTGATTGGAAAAAATTAGCAAAGAGGTTAGCAGAATCAGTGTCATTGCTAGCTTTATCCATCCCAAGAAAAAAAGAAGATGGCAAAGTTGAAGACTTACGCTTCAAGTTTACAAAATTATAAAACTGTCTCGGATTTCGGGCGAATTGCCTTTTACAACGAATTAGATAATTCTCATAGCATTGAGAATTAAGAAGAAAAAAGTTCGACTTGGCTATGGAATATTTAGCCAAGTCTGTACACGAACCAGACTTTTTAAACTTTTTAAAATATTTGGATTTTACATTTTTTAGATGTGATAATCTGGGAGTAAACCAGGGTGGTTTTGAAAAAGTAGTCGAAGGAATTGACTTAGGAATACACACATCTAAGAGGGAGTTTAGGGTGATATAAAAAGAATTAATGGCTGTATTCATATCAACTGAGTCATATAAGAAAGACCAATCGGTTGAATAAATAAGCTGATTCAGCAAGGAATAATTTCCTTTGCGAAAGCAATAGCGGGGCTTATTGGCTGATGAGCACGAAATGGAAGGATTACAATTTAGCATTGCAATCTCTAAAGTTGGATGATAGACATCCTCAGGAAGAGATAAAGGAGGTGACCTAGACACATTAGAAATAAGGTAGTCGTTAACAAATACAAGGTCAAGTGTTCTATTCATATGATTAGAAATTGAATTGATTTGAAACAACGAAAGATCAAGCATGCAGTCTAAAAAATCGTGCTGTGCTGAGGGCACTAGATAATTTTCAGCAGTGAATAATGACCAAGAGATGTTCGGCAAATTAAAATCACCCAACACCAATAATAGGTCATTATCCCGCACGTGTGAAGAAACTTCTTTAATACAAGTAATATGATTCATATAAACTTGAATATCAGAAGAAGGTGGGACATAAGAGCATGTTACATAGATATTCCGTGTAGGAAAAGACACCTTAACTGAGACAATCTCAGCGTCAGTAGGCGTACTAAAACAGAATAGTTCAGACTGGAGAGTGGCTTTAACGGCAATTAACACCCCACCACCTCGAGTCGGCCGATCATTTCTAAACAAAATAAAGTTATTCGGTAATACCTCAAAATCAGATATGGTTGAGTTTAACCATGTTTCTGAAAATGCTATTATGTCCGAATCGAAGGAAGTGCTGGCAATAAAAAGATTTTTTAGCTTTGAAGTGAGACCTCTGACATTCTGATAATGAATAAAGATTTGGTCAGAAGATGAAGCTAGTTTTTTGGGGCAGAAATGGTACCCTGTATTGAAGGGACTGGAAGGGTGACAGGCTGGTTACGCTTTTTAGGCTTGAACTCATGAACAATCATGTGTGGTGGCCAAAATTTGGGATCACAAATGATTGGGAACATATCATGTGAAACATTTATTTTGAATGATGATATTTCACGAGGGGTGGAGAAATTAAATTTAGTTATTGACACGCTAGCAGAAGATTTGCTAGCAATATAGGCTGCCAATGACTCAGAAGTGGTGTCCGACGAAAGTCGAGACACAAAAACTTGCCTACGAGGGGCAACTACCGTTAAAGTGGGCGCTGATGGGGCTGTAGGTAATACAGGAGTTGGAGGAGCTAACGAGGCACAATGATTGCTTTTAACAATCTGCGCAAGATTGCGCGCAGGTCTACCTTTGCGGCCAGGAGCTGACGGGGCTGAGGCAATTTGATTAATTGGGACGGAATCAGGTACGGGCTCTACTGGGTCTAGTACAGGGCTTGAAGCCGGGGTAATTGGACAGTCGCTTGGAGAAGGCGATAAAGACAACATTGGAGATACCTCCAAGTTGCTAGGAAAAGACAAGAAAGTCGTAGGAGTCTGAACAGACGTAGAGGGCAATTGCAAAAGTTGAGGCTCCAACCGGCGATTGGTTGGAGACTCAAATTTATATTTGCCTAGCAAATCGAAACTCGAGTCAAAATTACTCGAGAGCTGCTTAGCCACATTATTTAATTTTAAGAATTGACTTCTCACAGAATTATACATTCTGGAGAAATCAATTTGCTTGTCGATGCATTCTGGACACGACCAACGCAAGCCACCGCAGCCCTTCTTGGCAATAGCAGCGATCTTGTCGCAATCACGCCCAGTGAGACCTGCACATTTAGCATGCATCATATTCTCACACAGCCAGCAATTAACAAATTGCGGCAGTGCAGAATCGTCAGCCTGCTTGAACGTGCACGGTTTCTTACAGCACGACATAATTATTAAATGCACAAGCAACTTGCGAGAGCGCAGAGCAAAACGAAACGAAAACGGTGCACAAGTAAACACTCAAAAAACAATTATTCGTACACAAACAAATTGTTTGGTGCGAAAAGCAATAGAAAGAAATTTGTGAGAGCGCGATGCACAAGCAGAAAGTATGCAGCGAACACACGCACAAACAAGTGTATGCACAGGGGAGCACAAAGGCAAAAGACTTAAAACAGCCAATAACAACAAACACGGAACTGACGCCGCGTTTTATAAAATGTAATAATTAACAGACACGCTGCACAACAGATGACACTTTGCACAGTTTATAAAAGCTTTTTAAATAAAGCACCGAAAAATGCAAAATTTTGAAATATAAAGCAAGATAAAAGCGCAAAAATATATAAAAATCTTGGAGCACAAGTAAAACACGTCAATCACTCTCAACTGAGAACTCTCATTAGCTATAATAATTACCAACTTCAATATTAATCATGGCTGCAACGCAAACAAAATTGGTGGTGACTCAGCTCACGGTTTTAATTCATATAAATTATAAAAATCTCTAGTTACAAAAAAGAATAAATAAATAAATCTAAGATGAGATTATTTTTTGCTGTAAAAAAAAAGCTGATGAAAAAGAAATTTCCGTTTAAGTTGTATTATCTATGCCGACCCCAAACTCAGCTCACGGTTCTAATTACTATAAATTATAAAAAAGTAAACAGTTACAAAAAGTGAGAAATAAATAAATCTAAGACGAGATTATTTTTAGTTGTAAGAGAAAAGTTGATGAAAAAGAAATTTTCGTTAAAGTAGTATTATTAATGCCGACCCCAAATCTGTGATTATACAAAGTGGATTTATCTAAAAGACTAATGGATATATCCGATAGAGGAACAACTGTGGACGTGGCAACAAGTGTAAAGGTTGTAGACATTTAACCGTGAGAAATAGTGTCTAGTCAATTATAAATAACATAGTTCTGCTTAGAATCATAATCATATATAATTTTATATAATTATTATATGATTTATTTAAAATTTATGATAACATAAAGGGATCATTTTTTTCATTATTTTCTATGAAGCTTAGTAAGCACGCCTTCAAAAAAATCTAATTTTTCTTTGAATTACACACGCCCAAGCTTTACATTTAAAACTGCGACAGTTATATTTTTCCTTTAACTCCACACTGGGAAATGAACTCTTGAATAATTTACACCGTAGCGCAAAAGTTTTACTTAAAATTTTTTAATTTTTGAGGTCTTTATTAAAAAACAATATAAATATAATACCTAATATAAATGTATACTTGATCTGTATATAATGTACGACAAAGTACATGCCAGATTTTTTGTCTCTGGCTCTTAATAAGATCGGACAGAAACACCAAACCTATTTTAAGAACGCATTTATGTCATAGAATCTTAGAGAAAAGCAGTGCGGCAGCAAAAAGTAGAGAACGTAAACAACTACATGCGTGCTTGAGTGTGGATGTGGGATTTTTTATGAATGTGTAGATGAAATGTATGAGACGACATGTTTGGCGCTATGTTGAGGAGATCCCATTGTTGGCCACTCCTCCCGACTACAGCACTATTAGTTGTTATGACGTTTATATGCAAATTGTTGATTTAGAGCTATATGCATTTGCTAGAGAAGTCATCATCCAAGTGAACAATATTTAGCTTTATTCTACGTATATATAAACACATTTATAGAAGCAAACGGTATATGTGTTTTTTTTACGCACAGTTAATAAATACATACATATTATTATTATTTTAAAGGTGGGGCCGTGGACATCCGGAAGAGTATACAGATGCCATGAATTTAGGTGAGGAGCGGTTTGACTCCATTGACTCTGATAAGAAACCAAGAGCTGGACAAATTCTGTGGATACGTGGGCTAACTCGTCTGCAAACTCAAGTAAGTGTCATGATCCCCCTTATATTATATAAAAGTAGAGTACGGAATATATACATATACATGCAAATAGTTTTTGTTTAGTTTTTATCATGAGTTGTCATTTAATTTGATACATTTATCTGCAAATTTGTATTTTTTTCTGAACCTCTACATAAACTACATTAATAATGGGTATATACTTATAGATATTTATATGGTTATGCCCATGTTCGTCATCTATGAAAAAGTTACAAAGAAAATTAAGTATTTCATTTGAGTTTTAATCTACAATATATATGTTAAATAAATGTATATATATACTTGCATATCACATTGTCCATTAGTCCGTGATATGTTAACCATTTTCAACAACTGGTGGCATGCGAACATAGTTTAAATAGTTTGATCAATTTTTCCAACATGTATGAGACCATACTAGAGATGTCAATCTATAGTATCTACGTTAAAAAGCAAAAATGTATTATTACTCATTATCTACGTTCACCAGGAAACACCCTCTTTGATCACAAAAACATAATACCAGTAATATCTATGTCTATATGTTGTATGTTTAATGGTGTAATACATTCTGGGGGACGCTATTATACATTTTTCTGCCAACTCCGTTGATGAAGAAGCTCAATTGTTTAATTGTTGGCCTAGAAGTATCATTTTACTTACTTCAAAAAGTTGATTATCCATTTACCTTTAATAACAATGATGGACTACCCAAGTAATAAGTTATCAAATATTTGCAATTATTATTAAATTGTTAAATATGAGTTCGGTAGTCCATATATAAAAAAAAGACTCTGATAGCAGATTCACAGCACATTAGCGTTCTATTTGTATAATATATACATGTTTTTCTATACAAGAAGTATTGTATCATTATACATCATCAGTTACAACATGAACGTGGCCATTGATACTGACAAAGAAATAAAAAATTGTTGCTATATCGATATTTTGTCATCTCTAGTTTTACGACTGGTGCATTAACGGCTCCATGAGGTTAGTTGTGCGTTCGCATGCACCAATGAAAGAACATACAAATATATTTTTTAATTTGCAAAATTTAATTTAATGTGTAGTTAATTTTTATTTTATTTAAGATGTGTGCAAATTTTGTTCCTTTGGTTTGAGTTGATTTAATTTAACTCATTCTGTTTCCATGTTTTGATAGATTCACTAAATAAACTGCTCTCAGTGCTGACAAGCTGTGACATACATTTTGATCGGCTGCGTAGGCCCCATTTTCCTTAAATATTAGCGGCTTACTTGAGTACGGAACGAAATAAGTTTAGGCGTGTCCCTTTTAGACGGGAATTGATTAAGTATTTTTGGGATGTGAAACTCGTATAATATGTATATGCATATTCTCAGAATATAAAGTGTATACATATGCATATATATATATGTGATCTGTAAGCGACAATTATATCGAAATTTCACTACTAAGTATTTTAAAAAATCAATATAAATACTTAAAATACATATCGCTTACAGTCGATATTAAGACGCAAAAGGCTCTAGTAATAGAAACAAACCATATATTGACTAGTTTTATTCTCTTGTTTTATTCTCTTGTGTCTCTTTCTGTCTCTATCTGTCTCTCTTTCTCACACACTGTCTGTCTTTTGATACTCGTTTTTTATATATCTTCGGTACATATCTGAAGTTGCTCTCTGCTGCACTGTCAACCTTTTTTATTCCAGTCTATCAATCGTATTTGTGTCTAGATTTCTGAATGCTTTTAAAATAAAACTTATATTATATGTTCGTCGAGTTTGTGTTATCTTGGAATGGTGCATATGCACATGACAGTGTTTAACTAGGTGTAACTATCATTTTCCTATACGTTTTGTAACATACATCTACTTCTTTAACTCAGTAAATTAAATTAAATCAAAGCTATGGAAACTCCCGACAAACCATTATTCTTGATTGATAAAGTAAGAATGATGTATGTTATACATAAAAATAAGAAAAGAAAGAAAATGTCAAATCCCTTAATTTATTGTATTATTCAGTATACCTGTTGTCCGTTATTCGCTGTTCAAAACATCGAAATTATAGAAGTTAGCATTGATATATACGAATCCATACAACATACAATGACAAATGACAAAACTTTATATTATGGATTTAAAGTCTCTGTAGTCAGGTCGAGATACCCTCACTGGCACAAACAAAAGAGTCACAGCTTTACCCGCACACGTTCCTAAAGTCGCTTACTGCTCAGCATGGTGAACCATTTTTCTAGAACTCCCACGATTCCTCTTTCTCCTTTACACATCGCGTTTTCCTTTTGAGTTACTTACTTTTTTTTTTTTAGAAAAGTTATGTTTTTATGCCTTCTTATTGTTTTATTGTTTTTCTAAAGCCATAGAACACAATTCACATTTTTTTGTTTTCTTTTCATTTTATTAATTTATATTTTTCTAAGGGTATTTAGTTTTCATAAAATCAATATTTTTCATCTCACACCGCATGTAAATCGTAAACCATTCAAAGCTTTAAATCTGTTATTTCAATGATATAGATTATGCTATTACCTTTCAACTCTCTATATCATATATGTACATACCATACTTATAAGCCTATACAAAAGCATTCCCATAATTTTTACCTTGGTTAGGCATACCTTTCTTCGGGCTTTCGAAGCTTTACATGCTCTTTCAAAGCTATTAAAACCTGGTAATTGATTTGAAAACTTTGTCCTTAATATATTTGTAGTTTTTTTCAACTTCTCGGAAATTTTCTCTTAAGAAAAATAAAATTGGTTTAAGAACCAGTCTATTGGTAAATTTTTAGGTTTATTTGTTAACATGAAAAATCCTCACTTGGCCTTATTTTATTTAAGCTTTTCATAAGCGTTAATTGCAATAATTTTCCGATCGTGAAGTTAATAACATATTAGGGTGCTTATTTAATTTTATAGATTCGCAGAGGTGTATTGTATGTATTCCTTAGTTTACTACAACTTGCAAACATAACAATTATAAATTGACTTAAATAGGCAACTGTTTGAAAAGATTTCTGGCCTCTATTTGTTACAGGACTTAATAGAAGTGAAAGAGTATGATTAAATCAAGAAATGTAGAATCCAAAATGGTTCAAAGTAAAACTACAGATTCCTTACACGCTACTACTTTATAAATATATTATAAAATTATAATGCTCATTTCGTTTTTTCGCTCTCCTTTTAATATGCTTAAAAACAATCCCGAACGATTGATTGAATGAATAAATTGACGTAAAACTCCACGACATAAACAAAATTATATGTTATAAATTACAAATTACAAAAATTAAACCAATTTAAAAATGCAAAACACAATCTATATATAACGCGTAAATCTCAACTCACCTCTAGATTTCAGTACCGGTAAGAAAAGTGTATATTCATTTATTTATTGGCAACTAGACGATGTTTTATCATGTCTCCTGCTTACATTCCGATGTCCACATCCACTCCTATTCTTACCAATCCTGTTTATTTTACACTTTTTTTATTGTTTTTTCTGTGTTAATATTTCCTCTGGGTAGTGCTTTGTATTGTCATTTATATTATCATCTGTATAATATATGTACAATATATTACATACTAATTTCATATTACATTATTGTACAAATATAAAAGATTTAAGCCTTTATAACAAGAGAGACCAGATGTCTACGCAGAATAACAGAATTCCGATACGTTTTTTAACATTTGCCACACAATTGTGATTAGTGACAAGAACCACCCGTTAATTGTCAATATAAGCAATATTATATTTACAAGTCCGATGTTTAACAATATACAACCTTATACCGCTTTATCAAGATGAATTCAAAACTTGCTGATGTTAGAAATCAGACAGAATTAGCAATACCAGCTGAGAAGTCATAAATGCACCTTGAAGGCATTTTTCAATGCGTTACACATTTATTATTACATTTAGTAAAATTAAAAATATATAATTGACCACATTCAAATAATTGAATGTTTCCGTTCTATGCCCAAGTATGTAATATATTTACACTCTATGAAATCTACTTACATATTTTCCTCTTCAATTTAAAAAATATGTTTTGACTGATTGTATGTAGTGCTTTGTGTCATAATTGATCTTAAATGTACAAATGTATACAAATGCACCCTGTTAATTTGATCATCCAAACTTAATTCAACGCAGAAGTATTCCCATTCGATTACAGAACATATGCGGCATGTACCATAAGCGTATGTATGTATGTATGTATACATACTCTATTATAGAACAACAGAAACGTGAATATAAAAAAAATTCGTAATATCCCTGTCCAATCCAGATCCTGTCATTTGGTTAATTCTATAATAACTTCTGTAAAAGATAAGATTTTGTTGGCGTTCCTTTGACCTTGCAAGTTGTACTGTTGAGAAAGATAGAGGGATAGACATAATAATTAATTTCGATAGTCAATTTAAGGCAAACTGAAATAAAGTTTATTGTATTGTAGGACGTTTTGCCGTTTGTCTTTATTAATTAAATTTGTGCTGCCTTTTATAAAGGTAGTCACTGCAACTTAAAATACATGTATATATATGTAATATTCTGTTCACAAATCTCAATATATAAAACTGTTTTTCTTGACTGACTAACTGACTGATTGGTGATCAATGCACAGCCCGAACCGTAAGAGCTGGGAAGCTAGAATTTTCACTTTAGTTAAGACGGGTTATCGAAATTCCACCCGCAAGTATGGCAAAATCGCGAAAAACATTTGTATGAAACTTTTTTGTTTACCATCCAATTGGCCTCAAACTCAATTTCAAAGTTCTTTGTTCACACTTTTCCAAAAATGTATTCCTCCTTGGTGGAAATGGGGGTCAAATATTTGGTGGGAGACGTTTCGCGCTCAAATTCATTTTCAAAGCTCTATATGGAAAATCATTTGAGACGTATTTCACATTTTTCTCAAAATCTAGACTCCTTCGGTGGAAAGTGGATTTTAAAGTAATTGTTTGAGAACTTTAAGCTGTGTCCGAATTGCATAAAACTTATTTTCAAAGCTCTATATAAGAATAAAATGAATACGTGTTTCAGCGATTTGGGAAATACCACTCGAAATAGTGTTAAATCGAGAGTAGTTTGTTTACGATCCGCTCAGTTTCAAAATCATTTTCAAAGCTATTCTAGAACATTGATTTTATAACATAAGTGCCACGGGCAAGGCCGGGCTATACCCGCTAGTATTTATATATATGTGTGTGTGAACAGAATATTACACAGTCGATTTCACTCGAATCTTGTTTTTTTTTATAGAATTTATAATTTTAACTTATTTTCTTAACCCATTTCCATTGCATACATCGATAAATAATATTTCAATTGTTTTGACAACTTTTCTATGTCTTTTGGTAAATATGTACACACAATATTTACAAATCTGCTAACATCATAAAAACCCCGAAGATATTTCTTATATTATTTTTGGCTTAGGGAATAGAAGCACAGACGCTGCGTTACGAGCATAGCTTTGGTGCGTGTGTATGTCTATATATGTGTATGTTGTCTCGAATGAAATTGGAATGTATGTTATGGCTACTCAAAGCTGAGTGCAGGCTAATAGCACTAACCAAACAACATCTGTAATAGGTAATGTGAATATAAAATATATATATATATAAATAATATATATATGAATATGATATATATTAATATATATATGACTATGATATATATAAAATATAAAATGTATATTTGGAATCTTTTGTTAAAAAATTTGGGTCGTCTTTAATGTCCTGTGGCTTTAGAATACTTTGGGACTGCTTTCAGTCGATATTTTCACTTTAGATAAACGACTAAAATCTTTATTGTTTTGAAAATAAAAATTTCCAAGCGGCACTATTCACTAGTCTTAAGTTTTCCACGTTTGCACGGTTAAAATTATTCTGATTTTAGATCACGTTTTTCACATCTCTTTTATTATTAGTTTTACCTTTGTCTTTTAAGTTACCGCTTTAATTATCGAATCTGTCATCTTGGATAAAGCACATATTTTTTATTTTTTTGTTTTATTTTTTATATTTTTCATTTAGTCCTGTCCAAACAAGAGTTCAAACTTTTGCGTAGGCTTTAGCGAAGTCTTAATACTCTTGCAGTCGATTATTAAAATCTATTCCGTATCTTTCACAATAATGTAAGGTATATTAAGATTCCCTCATGTCTGGGTCTGACCCTTTTACTCTCTTTTTTGATTTCTATGTCCGAAGATAAGGAAATCATTATTGTTTCATCATACATGCATACGTTTAAATCTTTGAACTTATTTTACTTGTCTAGTTTTTATTTTTGTTTGCGTTGGTGGCATATATATTTAGCTTTCAACTTGATTTAATTAAAGTAATTATCAGATATTTGTTGTTAATTTTTGTAATTTTTAAGCCGGCGGAACCAATACGAGAGACTGAAGTGTAATTAAAATTGCAATAATAAGCATCAAATACTTATGTAATGATGTAATACACTTATACACATTCATAATCATGCACATACAAATACAGACGTACCGCACGCTATACACCATGTCACAAAAGTATTGAAAAAATTTCCTATAATTCATAAGATACATATATAACTACATACATTATAGCTATTACCGAAATGGTAAAATCAAATATACAAACGGCACTCATAAATACAAGATACAGAAAAAGAGTAGAGCGATTAAAAGAACATAAAGAGGTACATAAGAATAAAAAACGTAGCTAACCATCGAGGCAGTATTCAAATTACACATATATTTATTTAAATTTTATGAAAGTTGAATTTCCAACAAGGAATACCCTTAGCCTTAGATACCCTTAATGTTAGGATAAGTCGTAACAATAGCTTCGATCGCTAAAACTATATATTCATATGAATGTATGTAGGTAATAATATGATAATAAAGTAAGACAATACATACCATTAATGGACACTATGACAAAATTGAATATGACACCATAAAGTCAAGCCATCAACATTTTTCCCAAACTTAATGTGTTTTAATTGTATGGATATTACGGAAATCTTTTTTTATATTTACAATTAAATTTTAAAGCTAAATTAATACATATACATATACATATACATATACATATACATATACATATACATATACATATACATATACATATACATATACATATACATATACATATACATATACATATAGACATACATATACACATACATATACATATACATATACATATGCATATACATATGCAAATACTTATATAATACATATACATATACGATTCTTATCGAGATACCATAAATACCCCGGGTAAAAAAGAATACAATTGTAAAAGTCTAAATACCAAGAGATTATTAGGGTTCAGTGAATTTATTACACATGCATTTAGTTATCATAAATATGCACTCAGCTAGAGACGTAAATACAAACATCTAATTGGAAATTGATAGACAAGGCAACAAGAATAAAAATATTGATGCATAGATTAGCCACATAGCGTCAGTTGTTCGTCGGCCGGTATTGGCTAGTGAATTTTTGTCGATAACTGCCAACATCAACCATACATCGGCACAAACAACAGCGTCAAGATAAAAGAAATAACTACAACTATAACAACAACAAACAGCATCAACAGAACAAGGTCTCCTCCCTTCTTCTACTATCTGCTATGTCTATGAACTACTTATATTCTACAACTACTACTATCTACAACACTTCTAACGAGAATTGAAACGTATGTAATTTAAAATTTTGAACTCTTATAAAAACCCAAATCCACCTTTTCAAAGTAAAATATGAACAGTATGTATATTAGCTTGTTGCGTTTATGCTACGTAAGTGTATTGTTTACTAAATAAATAGATTCAATTAATAAGTGAAAGCGTATTAAACCCAAAATTTTGTTTTGTATATTCCGTTCTTTATTGTTAAAAACATTTCAAATTAGTTTTGAAATACAATTGTTAACACTATTGTTGGAATATAGGATTTATGTAGCACGAGCACAACACTTATACATACATGTTGATTTTGCTATGTATGTAGTAAAGCCCTTAACCTTATCTTGCTGCCTTAGTTATCTCTTTTGAGCATCGTGCGTAATACTTACATCCATTCCGGCTACATAGAGTATAAATTTATTCGCGGCACAACCAATATAAGTTCACCTTTCATACCCAAATTTACATTAAAATCGAAATCAATTCACATTAGGAAAATCCAGCTCGAAAAGTACAATACTGGCAATACGATATGCGATCTTGAAATATATTACCACGTGGATACGCTACCTGTTTAAAAATATAATAAACATAAACTTTAAGGCTCTATCACTACACAGCGATTTAAATCTAATTCTTTCAAACTGAATATGTCGATAAAGTTCAGATTAGCACATCGCCATTGTCATATATACATATATAACTACAATGTACTTTAAACGGAATACCAATTTAATCAATAAGTATTTTATATACGTGCTCAAACATACTAACACATGTAGGATGTAGATAGGTCAAACTCAATAGCAAACTATATAAATCAGCAGCTGAGTGACTCCGTGTGGTTGTGTATATTTGTGTTTGTGATGAATAGGAGAAATTAAATGTTACTAAAACATTTTCCTTTCCTGGTAGGTCATATTATATTGGTGTGTATTAAAATGACGTTTTTAATCAATTATTTTGCTTGAATATTTATTTTTATTGTTATATACTGCTTCTCTTAAAAGCGGAGAATTTAAGCACATGTGTAAGCCAGTCGGCACTTCCAGGTATCGAAATATGTTCCCATGCCCTAATACATTGATTACACTCGCTTAGTAATTTGTATGTATAAATGTGTATACAGAAGATAAATGCTATTATTATCTTTTATTTTTTTTTTGTACCTATTACGTTTAATAAGTATGCACGTATTATTAATTAAAACTTCGACTCTGACTGTGTACTACAAACATACATATGTACAACCATGAACGGGTCATTCAAATTAACTGCTGGACATAATGATTGTTGTCATTATTGTACTAAATCAATAATTTTATATTTCTCCAATCATGAACAATATTATTATCGCTTTTCCGACTCGACGGACAACTTAACTTTTTCACAAAATTAAACTATAACTTCCCACTCTAATAAGTATGTGTGTCATTTAAATACATATACCTTATGTTATGTATGCACGCCTGTTTTTCAGTGGATGTATATATATTGTTAGATTAGTTTTGCATCGGAGACTTCTTCTGTTGCCTTCCTTACTAAAACTATAAATATATTCTATTTAGTCAAATTGCTTTACTGCTTTGCTTTCTTAAAGTCTAAAAATTTCCCCATTCTAGTTATTATGATTTAATGCCTTTAATTCGTTCCAATGGTCCAATGCGATTAAAAACAATAAATAAATAAATAAAAATAACAAAAAGAAAATGTCATCGAAAGTTACGTGCCTTCGAAGGTGTCCGTTTCTTCACGTGGTGTTCCATCCGTTTCTGGATGGAAATCCTTAATTATTTAAGAGATCTCTAAACTAGCATGCTACTTACGAGCAAGCCATGTATTCCAATCCCGCCTACCCGAAGGGACCATTTATTGCACTGTAAGAACTATTTGTTTTCTTATTTTTATTGGTTAATATTTGTATTTGATTTCTTTTGTTATGGCTACTTCTTTTTAATTTGTGGATATGTGCAAGTACTAAAAATACTCAATTATATGCTTACGTACATACATATTTATGCGTTGAGTATACTTGTACATACGTATGTATGTAAATATATACTAAAGGCATATGTATGTGTGCATGTATTGGGCCTGCAAATAGTGAGTGTTATTATGCTAATATTTTTTATGCTTATTTTGTTGGTTATTATTGTTTCCGTTTCTGTTCGTTTGTTGTCTAATTTCGTTTGTTTCAGTTGCGCGTGATTCGTGCATTCCGCTCGACCCTGGAAGACCTAAACGAACGGCGCTCAATGCACAGTTTGCATAGCTTGCGTAGCCCCCGGACGGGCATGCCAACAGGCAGTGGTGTTCATCCGCTCTACAATTTAAATCTGTTGAGCCCCAATTACAGCAGCAAACAGCAGCAGCACCACCAACATCAGCAGCCGCCGCATCAGCAGCAGCAGCAGCAGCATGTTTCTAATGCAACTCTGCCTTCCGATATATCTTACATAGACGAAGATCCACAGCAGCAGCAGCAGCATCGCAATTTGCAAAACGGAGTCAATTCCTCTGCATCCACAGCAAACCTTACACCCCCCTCACAGCAGCATTTATCATCACACTCATCTGTTCGATCTGCTGGCAGTGGCTTCGGTGACGTTGTCCTGCAGCAGTTAAACGAACATCAGTCAAAAAATGGACAGAACGAAACACGAATTTAAGACACTTCCAAAGACAATATAAATACAGTCGACGCTGAGAGCACACTCTATTTTTAGCATTTTACGCTCATTAAGCTGTGAGCGCAAAAGTACCGATTTGATTTTTGTTGTGATTAACTTAGTGTTTATATTATCTTTGCCTTTTCATAATCAAAAATCAAAAGCTATACACATAGATGTGTTATCTACTTATAAAACTAACCAGACGGCTGGCCATGGAATCAATGAAATATATTATACATACACGTTATGTCATATACCATATTGAGATTCACACACAAATGTATATGTATACATATATAAACATACATCCCAACATATGATTATCAACGAACACCCTTGCGCGCGCTTTCCCGGGCATGTTATCCATATATACACGTATACATACATTTATATATACATATATATGAATCGTGTTTTGTCGTATCCCGATAATTGTGTACTCAATAAGATACCTAATTAATTAAATATTAACGCTTAGCAAATGTTATTTAATCGCATGATTTTGTATACTTTTAATCTTTTAATTTTTATATAAATTAATATAATTCTTGTGGAACTCGTATTATTACCTATATGAAAAAAAAAATCCAAACAAAATGTGCATCGTTATTTGCTTGGTGCGTGCGTGTATGCGTATGAATGAGTTAAAGGATCAGACAACTGCAAAAACAAATTATTCTAGGGTGGATATGGTATCCGAAGCTATGGCAAGTACTTACCAACGCAGCTCATAATATACATACTTAATTGAAATCTAAAGTAAGGCAACATGAATCGCCATAGGAGTAATGCTCGGGTACGATGCAAATATCTTTTGAATAATAGAATAAAAATAATTTTAGAAACATTCAACATTAATCAACAATAGCATTAGATGTATGCTGTAACTGTGCTTGTTTTTAAACAACAGATACGCCTTGTGAGAGCAGTTTGCTTAAACTTATGTGTTTAAAATAAATGAAGCGAAACTCAGTTACACTTTGGTAACTTTCAGGTCTAAAGAATTGTATAGGAAAAAATCATATTTCATGTGAAGTGAGGTATCATATTTTAACAGAGATCGGCTTATGTATATATGTATATATTTGGGTACATATATTCATTTTGTCGTAATTCTTTATATGCGATGCACAATTAACAGCAAAGAATCATGTACAATCATCGACACCCACTTCAATTTATTTTCAAAACATTCAAAAAGACGAATACGTACTTACCTAAGAGCTAGGATAATGCAATTTTAAATAATTTCAGTAAACATTTCAGCTCCAACGGTAAGAGCTGTGCGTTGATCACCATCAGTCAGTCACTCAAGAAACACAGTTTTATATATAAAAAATAACATTATAATATTTGTTGATTATTAGGTTTTAAGTCATGTATACTTAAAATATGAATTGTTTTATTTACACATTCAGCATACATATAAGCATAATCTTCAATCAATAAATCATTCGGTGCATCATGTGTATAATTTAGTAATGTAGTTTGAGTATATACTTGTATATTCTTTCGGTCAATATCACATTTTACATTTTATACACAAATTTCTATTAATAACATTCCGAGATTATATCATTATTTACAGTCGTTATCACAAAGGCATGTATATATTCATATAATTTTAATGATAGCTATACGTGACAGACGCTAATATATCAGTTACTGGGCCTTTATTTTCAATCAGAAAACAAACTTACTACATTATAAATCCTTTTTGACACCGTAAAGCTCAATTCTTCACAAAGATGTGAGGAACAATAGTATCAGTGTTATAATGAATAACACAACAATCACGTGTCAGACAATTTTTGTAATATCTTAGTAAATAAGCTTAAATTGGAAATTTCTCCCATTCAAATTTTCATCGGCATTTTTTATCCAAGAGCGGTGGATTTCGAGAAATGGGGGAAACTCGCATCAGAACATTTTAAAAAGACCAATAAAAATTATTTTGAAGACGATCGGTTGGTAAATAAGAAAATATTAATACAACTGATTTTAACTTAATTTACCAGAGTTGAAATGCACCAAAACCTCGTTAGACAAACAGTTATATGTGTATAGAGATTTATGAGAATGCGATCTGCAAAAATGTATATAGGTCTAAGATCTGAGGGACATGAAACGCATTGATATATTTGGGTGTAAAACAATTCAGTACATGCCCATAAAAATGCATAGGTTTATGACGCCCAACACTTTACCATTCATACAAATATACTTACAAGTACATTTACAAATACTCAATATACATAATTACCTATGTACATATTTCACAATGGTGCATTTATTTTGAATTCGAACCCTTATTAATTATATATTTATAAGTTTTTAAGACAGTCAATCCCAGTTCACAAATCCTCTGAACCTCAAAGTTCATATTTATATATATACATATTTGTCTATCTCTATATATATATATATATATATATATATATATATATATATATATATATATATAGATATATATATATATATATGTATATATATTGAACTAACCCAAAAACAAAATTCACTAGAAAATTACAATCACAATGTACAGAAAGTATGCATAATCAAAATTTTTACTTAATTCAAAAATAGGTCTGCGCACAGTATGTCATTCATACTAAAATCATTGTAGTTGGTGCTATACATTATATATTTATATATTATATTTGATATATATATATATATATATATATATATATATATATATATATATATATATATATATATATATATATATATATACTATATTATACTATATTAACTATGCTCTACTATCGTTCTTATTTAATTTTTAATATTCTTAATACGTCCTTTCAAAATACTCACATGCATACATACGCCTCATATGTACCTGCACAATATGTATGCATGGTAGTATATAATATATAATATATATATATAATATATATATATATATATATATATATATATATAAATTAAATCTATTAAATCCATGTAGTTTCTTTTTATCGCAGCCACACTAAACTGACTTCAACCTGTATTTCTCTTCCCACTTATTGTTTCCGTTTTACTTTCTCTCTTCAATATTAAAGGTAATAGGCGGCGAGTTACAAGAACGCTTGATACCGGTTCCCTATAGCAAGAGCAACACTGATCAAGCTGTAAGCCTTTCTTCATTTTATCTAAATTTATGTACACAACGCCAAGACAATCCAGAAATTAAAATTCCGAAATCATCAAAAGATGCGCGCGGTCAAGGACGAGTTTGAAATAAGTCCGATCTTAAGATATATGATACCCTAGAAATGAAATCTGGAAAGGAATATTCTATTGCAGTTTAAATAAGGGTAGAAAATAATTTTATATTCAGTATCATTAAATCATGTTCAAATTTGTGATCCCTAACACTCTGGGAAAACAAATTATTAAATTGAATATGGAGCAGTATTAAAATAATTAATGGGGTCTATACTGTATACAAAAATAAAAATATATATTATTTGTTTTTATAATAGGGGATAAAGGTTTCTTAATGATGTTATTTCCAACTTTCTATATAGTTGACATAAAGTGTAGAAGAGTTTCGGCATGCCGAAAGTTCACATGTAGATTTATAAAGTTGTTGGAGTAGGCTTTCTCAATAATTCCTTTACATATGTAGAGATAAAAATAATTTTCGTAAATATGCTTACTACTTATATATAAATTATGCATTAAATTAAAAAAAAAATTGCAAACTGATCTTATCGCGTAAGACAAAAAACATACGCTTTGCATGCTGCTTTTCAGTTATGATTAACATACATGATATAGCTCGTATTGTTGGCGTAATCTTTAATATATAGGTATAATACAATAATAGCCAATATTAATTTGTAGCTTTAAATTAAATATTACTCTTTGGGCGATGTCATATATTTAACTGAGACGTCAGACATATTAAAAAAATTGCTTGCTTGTTTATATAATTTAATTTTTTCGGTTCGGATTGTAGATTCTTTCTCACTATTTTCAACGAAAACTGCATCCTTCTTTAAACATTTTCGCTTATATTATGCATGCTCTTGAATTTAGCTAAATCGACTCATTCTTCATTCTCTTGCCTTTAATGTCCGTCCGTATTTCAATTTTGTATACAGGGCCTGTTCTTGATTTCGATCCGGTTGAACACAATTCCATTTAGTTCCGAAACGTTCGATTTGAATCTAAATCTAGAACTTACCTTTGCACTTTGTGCACATGCACATGTTTTTTTTGTTCATTTGACTTCAATCGTTATATATACATACATATATGAAGATTTGCCTGTGAAAACTAAAGAAACTTTCAGTAAATTGCGGTAAATTTAACCTACATCAGCCGATGCCTGCTTTTGATAGTTTCCCACTTTTTAACACACACCGCACATATATTCATCGCTGTGATTATGTTCTATTCTTTTTACCTTTGTTTTTTGTCCTTAACATATGTATATACAAACATGGGCATATGTATATGTGTTTGCATTTGATATTTTCAGTTAGACATAAAAAAGTGTATTTTTCCTTATACTGTCGTTTCTGTCTATCTTGTCACTGTTCTTGGTGTTGTTCTTTTCTTTCTACTCGACTTGCGCTTAGATTCGTGTGGTGAACGCCTTCCGGCAAGGTCTTGATGCCCGTTACGGGGAGCACACCAATACTTCGCTGGCCGAGGTGCTGCGTAAGCAGACTTCGCTGAGCAAACGCCTTTCGGAGACATCTTCCATTGATTACGCCGATAATATACCCGATGAGCTGACTATTCCCGAAATAGATGTTGAGCGGTTATCATCCCACAGTCACACTGAAACTGCTGTTTAAGGCCAAATACAGTCTTCACACACAATCATCCACATCCCCACTTACACCTACCTATAGATACTTGTGAACTTACATATATATAAATACACGGTTACATCATATTGAGCATTAAATTTTTGAAATAAAAGCAGAAACAATGGAAATTCTTACGACTAAAACAGAAAAAGTACAACCCAAATAGATTTTTCAAGCTTATATTAAGGAGGAGTCTTGCTTGACACGGCCAAACCAAAAGCATGTTTCAAAACTTTTCCTCGTAAAAAATACGTGGATGTATTGCATATAACTTTCATGCGGATATTTGTATGTTTTTTTTGGGGCTGTATGACACCTCGACACCTGCCGCAAGGACTTCAAATTATTTGGAGAAATAATACATTATACTAGCCGTACTTATTCATAGTTACATACCTACCTAGTCACAATAAAGAGAAAATAAATACACATAAATATACACATACATGTGTAACGAACGAAACTAAATTCGAGTGGCCTAAAGATACTAAAAGATGAAATAACTATTAAAGAAACACATGCCATTACACTCCATATTCACCCGACCGATACACAGGACAGAGAATATTAAAAACTAAGTGCGTTTAAGCCAAGTCGCCTATACATAAGTCATTATATTATTATTGCATACATATAAATATAACAAATAAATAAATGATCAAACACGAATTTGTTGAATGTAATAATTTTGCGATGAATTGGACCCCAAAATATGGAAAAAAGGAATGCAATCAAAACAAATATTTCAACAACAGTTGTACTTACAAATAGCCCTATGCGAAGTCTTATTTACAAATTGAATGAGTGATGGGAATTCTATTGCTGCTGCAATTTAGAAATTTAATTCTTTTGCTAATGCTGATGCCCAAATGTGATGACTAGCGGCAGTAAGGCACCGCATATCATGATAATAAGCTCGCTGTACCTCAGGCCTTGTACATTATAAGATTGAGCTGATCCATTAGCAGATGAGTCATTCGTAGCAGCCTCTCGAGATTCCTCTATAGCATGGTAGTCATACTTCCCGGGTCCGCCTTTTCGGTTGGGATGACTGCACCCGCCCTGAGTTAATTCAGGCAATACGTGAACTGTTGCAACGTACAAAAAGGTTCCGGCGGAAAATAACATGGCGATTCCAGTAGCATTTACCGAATTAAGTGTCTCTCTTTGTTCTTGCCCAATGCCAAAGTAAGTGAGGAGCGTCAGCAATGGTGCGGACAGGGAAAATATACCAAGGTGCTTTCGGATTTGTTGTCGTTCAACTTTTTCATGCAGCAAAAAGCTAACTAAGCCAAACGCAGCCGGAGCCTTGTGTAGCATAATAGCTAGAAATACAATTATTTCTACATCCTGGTGACTAGTTGTTGCTGCTGCACCCAAAGCAACTCCATCAGCTAAACGGTTAAGAGGTAAGTGTTTAATTTGGTGAAACAATAAATGAAAAATTCCCACCTGCAGCATGCACCACTAGTCCGAGGGTAGCCGTAATATTCTTGTCATTTTCATTTCCTTTGTTGGTTTTTCGTTGTGAAACTTGGTCCACAAGCATCATGAAAACAAACCCCAGCACAAGAGAAAGTCCTATTGTACGCGAGTAATCATGTGGCTTGATCAGGCCGGCTGACAATTGGGATGTGTTTGCATCTGTTTGAGGTCGCTGGGTGTCCATATATAAGGAACGTATACCCTCTGGTATAATAACTGTGAGGGCTGTGCCCACCAACAACCCAGCGCCAAGTACCGTGACAAACTTTAATTTTTCCTTAGTTTAAGAAAATCAAGAAGTTTATGTATATAGTACATGTATTCATTAGTAAGTTATATTATGCATACCTCACTCAATTTCATTACCAAAGGTATACTTCCAGATAGGTACGATCCAACTAGCATCACAATTACCAACAATATAAGAATAATTGTCTCCTCCATGTTCCGTTTGTTTTTATATGTTTGCCAACTCAACTATTTTTTTTTTATACTTGATATTTTATTTTTTTAATATTGGTATTTTACAATATTAGTATTTTATAAACGATTTATTAGTATCTTTTAGCTATCAGCATGCGGTCACACATGTTAAAAAAGTACTAATATTTGCGATAATGAAAAGTAATAATGTACAAAATAACATTGTACTAAGCTGTTTAAACATTAAACATACTTCATTAAATAGGACTGTGATAAGCTTATACTGATAAACTGATACTGGTGACAGATGACTCTTCACCAAATCACTATAGTGATTGTACTATACTAAATACCTATGTTGTTGGGTACATTGAAAATGTTATCGATGTTTTGCAGCTTTTAGGCATTAAAAACATAAGAGTAAGAAGTCGATGTTAAAACGCAATATGGCTTGAATAATTAATAATTAGATAAAAACAGTGCTTTTATAAATATGAGCATACTGAAATATATATATATACAAGCGTAAATATATACTAGTTAAGTATGTATGTGCATGTGCATGTTTACATTTATTTACATTTTGAGTTGCAATTGCTTTCCATTTGTTAGAAGAAGAAATTTTGCAAATAGATAAGTCTGTCTCGTATATACTATGTAGATGTTCCATATAATTGCATAAACACAAAACACTACGTGCTCACGAATGTTCACGCACAAATTGGTGTATTTCTTGTACATAAATATGTATATACTACAATTCCTGGACATAATTTCAATATTAGCTTAAAGCAGAAGATACGGTATAAAATAATAAGATCCAACAAATCAAAAATGATTAAAGGTTTAATATAGCTGTATTATACGTTATTATACGTTTTCAAACGTACTGCCCCAAGAAAATTACGTTGTTTTGTCTCTTACTTTCCTGTAGGGTGTACAATGGGTAATTGTCTGAAAATCAACAGTCCCGATGACATTTCACTTTTGCGAGGTAGCGAAAGTATCAGCGGACAGGACAGCGGACCGATGCCAATTTACCAGGTAAGTTAGGTAAACATATAAATAGTTTTCAAAATAATCAAGTATTTTGTATTCTATTATATAGCATGAACCTTTGCCGCAAATGTTTTATCCAGCGTCCTCTGCCAGTCATAGCGCAGCTTCTGCCACAAATATGTCGGAGGAAGATCAGATTAAAATAGCAAAGCGCATTGGACTCGTCCAACACTTGCCAATTGGAACTTATGATGGCAACTTGAAGAAAGCCCGCGAGTGTGTCATTTGCATGGTTGAATTTTGCGTGGATGAGGCTGTGCGTTATCTGCCTTGCATGCACATCTACCACGTGCACTGTATCGATGACTGGTTGATGCGAAGTCTTACCTGTCCAAGCTGCTTGGAGCCAGTCGACGCTGCCCTGTTAACCAGCTATGAAACAACATAGCGCACTGTAACAACTCGCTTTGCGTAAGGGCTTTTAAATTAATAATCCAAAGGAAACTAAGCGGGTCAGTGTGAAGGCTTGCTTGTGCTTTCCAGGGGACTATTATATTATTATTATTATAAGCGGTTAAGCATTACCATTTTAGTTGTTTAACGAATATTTAATATCAATGAAAAAGTCGGTGTACATAAATACATAAGTCAAAAACAATAACAAAGGAATGCTTATATAAAATATAGACGTAATTTTTACATAATTATATTACATATGTAGCTTATTGTTAATAATTAAAGTGACTAATGCTGTCTTGATAACTTGTAATTTAATTCCTGCTTTTCCACAAAAAATTATTATGCACTATATTGACTTGTCGTTTATAAACTCACCAGCTTTTCTTTCATATGGTCCTGACTGACTGATTGGTGATGAACGCACAGCCCAAGCCCTAAGAGCTAGGAAGCTGAAATTTTCACTGTAGTTACCTTATGTGATGAAGGTACACGTTATGACAGGTTTTGAAAATTTCTACTCGCACTCGCGGAGCATACATATAGATACATGCCTTTGAACACACATACATATGTACATATAAGTACACAAAAAATACGGACGTAAATAAATATGTACATCAAACCTATGAACATACATATTTACCTACGTATATACATACATACACACATTTGTACATACATACATACATACATATGTACATACATACATACGAAAGAAAATACATACATAAATGCATACACCTGTACATACATACATATAGACTTACATATGTATACACGTTATATATATAGACTTGTGTACATATAAATGTACAGGTACATATACACAGAGAAATTTATCAAAGATATGTTTCGCTTTCTTAACTAGTCTGGGGTAAGCGTTCTCTCGCAAATTGACAAAAGACAATATTTCAGTAGGAGGTACATATTTCTTTTGATAAATCGAAAATGTTCGTGAAAATGCGAGCTGCGTTTGCGACCCACCCAGCCATAAGGGATGCGCGACTGAGCGGCGCAGACGCGATTGACAAACGAAGCTAAAAAACAAGACATCAGTATCGAGTAACAGGCTGTGAAAAGCACACGAGGTCCTTTTCTACTATTGTTTTCTTGTTTTTAAAACCTGTTACCAAATTAAAGAGAATCAAGATGGACGTGGCGTTGAAAAGACTGCGCTTAACATCCAAAGGTGTAGTTACTTTGGCAATTTCATTAATAGCGTTGCAACAAGTGGCTGGCGGTGAAGTTCCCAGGGGCTCTAGGAAAAACAACTGTGAGCTTCCGTATCCTAAACATAAGGAATTTGCTATCAGCCGGAATACATTTCTCGGTTGGTATTTATAAATGAAATATACATACACAAACACGAATCTCTTCATTTTCACTCTGCTCACACAAAGAGTTCCTCCACTGTAGGAGCACCGATATTTTCAGTATTTTAAATCTAAATAATTGATTAAATTATTGATATTGTACAAGTATTTACCCCCGTCGCTATGAACTAAGGAACTCTAAGAAACATTGATATTTCTCTATATATAAAACTGTTTGTCCTCACTGGCTGACTGTTTGCTGACCAACAGCAAGCCCAAGCTTGGAAATTTTTTACTAAAGTAACTTTATATGATGGAGGTACACGGAAGAAATGCAGTACAAATTTCAGCTTCCTAGCTCTTACGGCTTAGTGTTTTACTTTACTCACCAATTATTCACGCATGTCAGTTTTATAAGTAGAGATGAGCCAACATAAATTTAATTTAAAGTTTAATTCAACTGTCTCTAGAAAATGATATACGTCTGATGTACCCTAGCAGTTATGAAAAGAGGTATAACCCTACATATTCTGGTCCAAGCATTAGGTAAGTCATTTGCATCTGATTAGAATTTAACAATAACGTGTTGTACATACTTCTAGCCGTCCTTCGTCATTAAATAGAAATGTGTACCGAAAAGGATGTATCCGTCGTAATGGTGCTTGTGATAATCGTCCTAGTGACTGTTGTTTTAGTAGTTCGTGTAGGTGCAATTTGTGGGGGAGCAACTGCCGCTGTCAACGCATGGGACTCTTTCAAAAGTGGGGATAGATCAGCCTGCCGTAATCATACACGTTTAAATATGAGCAAATTTATAGATAAATACATATATACACCATACATAAAGTAAATATGATGTGTATAATTTTAACCAATTATATTTCTTCATACATTTAGCCATATTTACCAACTGCTTGTCAATTAAATAAACTAAACCGCATTACAACTGCATATATTTTATAGGAGACATCGGAATTGGCTATTACTAAAAAATTAAAAGATATATTTGAATTTAACCTTAATTTAAATACAGTTTCTGCCCAAAACTTGCTTATGTATGGTTGTTTAGTAACCTCTTCTTTTATTGTAACGACTTTGTATATGGGTATACATATGTGTAACATGTCAGCTATTGGGTGATTTAATCATCAAAACTAGAAGAAAGCAAGAAATTTGCAGCCAGTTCCTCATCTTTTTCACATGCAAAGTAAGCTTGCAAAACAAGGGCTTCTGGAAATCCTAGTGCCTTGAGCTGTAAAATATTAAGTATTGAAAAATAAGTCAGTTATAGTTGCGCGGATTCACAACATACCATGTAGTAAAATAAGGTAGTCAAACAAAGATATTAAAAAATTTCAAATGACCTTTACATCTATGAGCGACAGGTATTTCCAATTTCTTTGCAAGCCACTCTTTAAGCCTGACAAGCACCTTGTTAATTTTTGAACTAGACATACATATTTCAGAAGTTTCTAAATTTCTAATCACTTTTAACATATTGCTTTCTTAAATTAACTAATGATTATTTTTTATATGTATACAACAAAACAGTTAATCACAGTTTGGAACAGTCGTACGTACCCGCTCTATAGCATCTTGATCTTGTGGTGTTAGGCGAATAGTGGCTAGGCTTTCTGTTGGTACATTTCTTTCTGCCGAAACAGTACCATCTCCCTCTAAAGCAACCGATATAGGCTGGTTTTCTGATCCAGCGGCAGAACGTTGGCCCTCCGTTGTTGCCGCTTGGCTTGCCGATGATGTCAAATTTTCTGTTCGACTTGAATTCGACTGTGTTCGACCAAGTCGTTGTGCGTTGGTGGCCACCTCGTCTTCGAGGGGTTGGTTTAACATATTCAGAAACGCATCTTGGTTTTCAGAAATAAGTTGCAAAAGAGCTGGGTTCGTTTGGCCAATCTAAGTGTATAAATAAAAAATACCATTAAGAATGGAATAATGACAGTATTTTACATACCTGTTGTAGAACAGCATGTAAAAGATGCGGATTTTGGTATATCAGAGAGCGCATCTGTAGGAATTGTGGCTGACTGCGTAAAAATTCAAATGGGTCTAAAATAGGAAAGGTTTATAGAACGATATATGTATATATAATGAAATGTATTTACCAGCGGCTGATTCAGCTGGTAAATCGCTTGCAGCACCCTGATGTATATTAGATGCTCTTGAAGATTCTTCATCATCTCCTGGAGTAAACAAGTTCTCCTCTTGGGGAATTCCGTTAATCAAATATTCTACAGCTCGCTCAGGATTATTAAAGCTGGCTGCCATTGCGCGTTCAACTTGCTCGCGGGGATAACCCATTTCAACCATTGAGGCAACAGTACGATTAAATTCCTCACCCATCAGTAAATTTGATTCGGCACGTGTTTGCAATGACGTATTGGCCAGCTCACCAACTAAATCAATGCTTGAATAGTCAGTTGTAGAGCCTGTGGTTGAAGCTGGTGCTGGAGATCCAGCTCCGGTACTTCCTACTTCTTCCCCAGCTTCACTTGTTATTTTGTTAGTCTTTGCTCCCTTTTTAGACGATGAAGATTCTTTTACTTGTACAGCAGGCTTACTTTCCACCAGTGGCTCATCTTGTGTGGATCTTTCTGTCGTCTCCTTGGCCTGTTTCCGAGCTTGCTGCGACGAAACTGCTTCTGTATTTGTGTTATTGCTACTGCCACTGCTAGTTCCGCTTATATCTCGGGTAAGCATCACCACAATAAACTTTTTCTCATCGACTTTGTATGAATTAATTGTTCGGTCATCTGTCAGTATGACGCCTTAAAAAAACAATTAAAACACATAAATATACATAAGAATATTGTGAATATAAACAAGCAAGAGAGTTGCGTACCAGCATAAATCAGTTTTTGTTTTTCCACGAAGTATTCGGCACCGCGTTCATTAAAAATTTGTCTTTTAAGTTCTAAAACCTACAGGAGATATGAATACGGTTGTATGTATGTACATATGTACATTGTACGGTAGACACTAAATATTATAAATTCAATTTACCGTTTTCTCTGGGTCAAAGTCAATTGTAAAGGTTTGCTGCTGCAGGTTCTTTACAGTGATAATCATTTTATATTTTTTTGTTAGCAATAATTCGTTATTTTTAATTATTTTCCTTGCTCTTTTTTTTTTCTCACGAAAATGTTTGTCATCGACACTAGGGGTGGCCTAAAATATAAATATCGAATGGAAGAAAACGATATTTCCGTGAAGAGTAAATTCTATTTCTCTTATCGATGTATTTGTATTTACGTGTGGTAATACATGGGTTCTGTACAGTTAAATTGCAGTTGTGCTTGTGTACAAATTGAATTGATTTTTTGCAGCAAGGCAATAACAGACGTAGAAATGTATATAATAAACAATAAGCACACTTATAATTACACAATTACAAATTTTTTACAGGAGACATTCGAAATGCAGAGGAATAATATTCATGATCCACTACAATGTAGGATGTTAGTAGCAATCTTTAGAGTATCGTATAAAAACTTGTAACTGTCAGTTGCAAATCCTATTAACTTCCGAAGCGATTTTGTTTGCGCATGCACCGTGTTTCGTACGCACACAGTTAGAATTATACAATACAAAATAAGTTTTTTCATCCGTTTTGAACAAGTGAAGACAAGCCTCATTTACAATTGTTTAAATTGCGGATAACAAAAATAGTTGATTAAATATTTCTTTATTAAATTAAATTGATAAGAGCGCATTTTAATTGTCTATGTGGACAAGACGGTGACGGTTACGGCTAACTGTAATTAAGAAATCTAAATTTCAATCCAGGGTAGTAAGTCCGTCAAGTTAACTAATCAATGGCAAAATACAACATTACGGTGAACCCATTGTGTGTTACACGTGTTTGGTACACTTTGCAAGCGGGTCGATAAAATAGGTGTCAAATTTAAAAGTGAAAATATGGCTTTCTTAAAAAGAACAAAAGTTGTTTGTATGTATATATGAATAAAATAATAGAAATAAAACATACATAACAATAGAAATAAAAATAAGCCTTAATGAAATATTTACAGTACATAAGGATATGTAAAACATATGTATTTATTTGTTTCCATATGCATGTACAGGTATTTGATATACATTCCATTTTTTTGAAAGTTGTACTGTTCGATAACAGCTAAATAAAAACATTGATTAGGAATCGAAAAAATATTGTAAAGTAGGAAAATATTTGTTGAAAGTATAGCACCTAATTATGCAAGCCTATCCAAACAATTAATTCAAGTGAACGGTCTATGGCTGCGTCTTTGGTTGATGTTTTAAGTAAAAATCAAATATCGAAAACGCAATTTTCATAATTTACAATGTATGGTGCGAAAATATACGAGTATAGCAACTTAGATATTGAATGAACATAGGTCAGTATTTGGTATAACAGACAGTTTCCTGTTGCGAAAAATGAATTTATATATGAAATTTAAGCTAAAATGAAAAGCAAGAAGTAAATGTTTAACAGCAGCCCTATGCTCATTGAAGATCTCTGCAGACATATGATTATGATAATTGTCAACATAACTTTCTTTTACAGAGTCTTCTGATGTCGAGGAAGCCATAAGATGCCATACGTTCCTCCTGTGCTCAGACTAAAAAAGAAGAGTCAGAAGGCGCATCCGAAAATTTTGAATGACATCTATGCGAACACAGCATCATATATCTGGCTCAGCCTTAGTGTTTCAATAAAACTGCAAGCACAACATAAAACATGACGGTTAGTGGCGATCTACATGCATTCCATATTAAGTTGATCCTCATTTCATTAAATATTTGTTGCTTACAGCATTATGCCCGGGACGAATGCTATCATAATAACAAAAACGATGCCTTATCCACTGACAGCCGACCAATTAATAACAGCACTATCTATAATTATGATGAAGAGCATTCGGGTGCATATGTCTATGATGAGTATGGCGTTTCAGAAGAGTACTCTTCTGATGTGAATTGGCCTCGAGGTGATGATCATATATTTGGAGATAGAAGCTTTAACCAGAATTATGCGCATTATACAGATGAGTATGTCCCAGAAGAGCAGAATGTAGCTGGGCTACCAACTGCGGAGTATTGGGACGAGAATATCGGCGCTCCGATTGATTATGGAGGCGCTGGTTATGGATATGGCTCAACTGCACCAATGAAACACAATGGGTGTGGCTCGTCAACGAAATATTCAGATGATGTGCCAATTGAAGGTACGTACACCAGAAGAGGCAATCGCATTGGTGTCTGCCTGCCAACCGCACCCGCGTCGTCGACGACAATAGTAATGGATAATTCAAAATATCGGATGTTACCGCACGCGGCTGCTTACCAAAATGTTCACGCTGAAAACAATCTGAATGGACATTCCGGCTATGCATCGAATGCTGGTTTAATAGACGAGAGAATAGGTAGTTTTATTAGTTTGCCAGCGGCACCAATGCGGACGTTACCCGAGCCTCAGCAACGACCCAGCTCCTCACATCGATTATTTGAAGATAACAACTTAAAGGCAGATGCCTTCGGAAATCAAAACGTGCGTGATAGCGTATCGGCTACACTAGGGTCAGCCAGAGGGCCCACTAGTTATGACGTATTCTACCAAATGGCTCGACCCTACACATCTATGCTGCCGCTCGACTACACCGACTGCTCCGAGTTCGGTGGTAATTCTGATAACTTGTCAGCGTTCAGTGACACGCCGCCAGTGAGCAATGCGCAGCACAAGTTGCAACAGCAGCGAAAAATCTCACTTATGATGGCAATGACAACAGCTTCTGTGATAGCATCTGGGGAGACAAGAGTACCGGTTCAGCACTCCAATAGGCGCATTGATAATTATTCAGGCTCGGCCACCACTGTAGTGCCATGTTGCGATGAAAATATCAGCATTTGTGCATCTTCCTCCTCCTCAGTTGCCTTTACCAACGCTACTACGATAGCTTTAGCACGCTGGTCAACAACAGACGCTCAGACAACTACTACGATGACGACGACGACGACTACAACTAGAAAATTGCCAAAACGTCTGCCGTCACCAGCTATACAGTATAAATCGTCGCATACGACTGGCACATCAGTTCCCGAAGTGATTTCAGAAATTACATTCCCATCACAAGCGCAGTTTGAGAAAAATCATCGCGCAAAGCAGTTGCCAAAGTTGCCCTTACCAAAAGCACAAGCTAATTTGAACTCAGTTTATATTGGTTCAGACATCAGTATCAACCGGACAGCATCGATGGTTTTATCATCAGGAATTTCTGTTAGCTCATCGCCAGAGAGATTGCCTGCAATACCAGATTCCGAACGGATGACTACCCACATGGCCCCAAGTTCTCCTATGATGTCAACGACAGCCGTGGCCTTTGTTGATGGTGCCAATAATTTTTTCCGCTTGGAGGAGAGTCAAGCATTTACAAAAATGTGTAGTAGAACTCAGCTCCAGAGCAATCAGAGCGAAGTGCCTAGGTCTGTCGACTCATTTAGATCTTGGCCACCAACTTCGATAGCCACCGAATCGCTTTCATTATATCAAAGTGAGCTTTCAAGCGACAAAGCCAAGCTAAATTTCACAGTGCCCGCCAAACTCACTCAAAAAACATCAACTGAATTGGCGGTAGAGCAAGAATCATCTTCAGCGGTCCCAAAATCAAACCATTACCATTCGGCTTTCACAGCAACAGAAACAACAGTAACAATTCCTGCTTTGTGCGAATCTAAGACATCATCATTTGACATATCTGATTACTTAAAACCTTATACATTTGATTCACTTAAATTTTCGACTGAAAATGATCACACCATGATCCCAACTGTCGCGAGGACTACTTTCGACACATACGTAAGTTGTAGGGACTCGTTGGACTCATTTAAACTGACATCACTGGAATCCCAAATGCCAAATTCGATTACCTCATGGACGACTAGCCCCATTACCATTGAATCATCACTGTTAAGCGGTGATGTTGCCGCCGTTTTAACGGCACCAAAAGAGGAAATGGTCACAACGCCACCAAGTGAGTCTTCGTCCACTTTGTCGTATCTACCAAATAAACCGATCTTACCGATCCCGACAACTATGGAGGGTAAAAAGTCTGACCAATTTGCAGCGACGAGTGATTCTCACGATGCAGTCACAACTTTAAGCCACTTGAGTAACGTGTTCACAACAAACGTTATGGCGTCTAGTTCTTCGACAATAGACATCATTAACACTAGTCCAGCTTCAGTTTCTACGCCAGCGTCAATTATTGCTCATTTACCTACGCTCTCGTACATTGATTATATGAAAAAGTTTGAACTTCCTGAACTGCCGCCGATTCTGGATATTTGTAGTGACGAGACAACAGCAGTTTTTCCAGAAACAAGTTCTGCAGATAACGTTACTGCTACTACAGATGCAGGGTTTCGAAAATTCAATACTAGTTTATTCGCGGAGACAGAAACATTTAAAAGTACAGCAACAATGCCTTCCCATACTCATCCCACAGAATCAAGCATGCATTGCGTGCACGAATGTAATGAATTTGGAGTACAAAGCTATCAGCCTAATCAATATCAAAGCGAAATTCCTACCTGTTCGCCAAACCTAGCCCCGATAAATACTGTTTCCACTCATTCTGTTATGAACAAATACCAAGACATAATGTCAACCGAAGCAAAACTCGACAGTGGTATCTCCTTGCAACTTGAGCCACAAATATCAGAAACTGTGCCAGATTACTTATCAAGCCACATTGACCAGACATTAGTGAGCACAGTTTCAGCTTTCGATGACAGCTTTTACGATAGCTTTAATGTTGATTTGACAGCGTTGACAGCAACAATTGCACATATTGAAAGCGAGACGTGCTTAACTCCTGCTCTGAAGCCAAACAGCAATGATACGCTGAATTATCTGCCCTGTGATCCATCCAGTAACGCATACATGGATGTAAGGGAAACAGGTAGTTCAAATGAACTGAACGAGTCGTTTGGTTTTAGACAAGGGGGATATTACAAGCCATCTCAAAAACAGCAACAACAGCCGTGTGTGCAAGACGAAGCTCCACATACACCTCAGAAATCTAAAGTCGTTGCGTCGGCAGCTACCAGCGTCCTGGGAGGTCTATCTAAGGGAATCAAGGGCGGATTGGATGGTGTGCTCAGCGGTGTTAGCTCCACGATGGAAGCAACTAAACAGTATCCAGCCAACAATAACAGTAAGAAAAGTTTTGGCTTTGGATTAGCCTCAAAATTGGTACCGAATGTGGGAGGATTGCTTTCCAGCTCAAACAAGCAAGACCAACAGCAGGAAGCAGCACCAACAATTTCCACCGTCTCTGTTATAATTTCAACAGCGGACAGTGCCCAACATATGCTCAACTGTCAAAGCACATCAAAGGGATATGAATATGTAAATGAAAACGTTATTGATACGAATACCAACACGGACGTAAGCGTCAGTCATACCCCGACTACTGGGTATCTGGAAGAGTTACGGTCCGTTCAAAACAATAGTTCCGTGCTAGAAACCAAGTCAAATCTAGCTTATGACTACCTCGGAAATTATGAACCTGATAGCTCCGCAATAGAGGTCATAGGATTAAATGACGACTATAGGTACGGTGAATATTCTGCACCGTACCAAACGACAGATGAGGGTCATATTGACAGTTTATACAGTTACACAGGTCCTTATAAATCAATTGTTGGATCTGAAATGGAGCTAGGATCGACCATGGCAGTTGATACAATTCCTTTCACTCAATATCAATCTTCAATGTCATCGAGTAACTTACCCGCTGCAGAACAGACCTCTATGCTTGAAACAGGAATCATATCTGTAACCGAAACCGGAACAAGTAAGTCCCAGTCAGTAGCTCCAAAGGTGGGTATAAAAAAAGACAGATCTAGCACTGTCGGCAGCACTGGTGGTATGTTAGGCTCAATTTTTGGTAAGGCTGCAGCAGCGGTACAGTCTGCTACGCAGGCGGTCAATCAGGGTGCCTCCTCTGTTGCCTCAGCTGTGGCTCAAAAAGCATCGACACCATCTGCAGTTGTCACAACAGTTGGGCAAACCAAGCCCCGAGACGTGCCAGCCATATCGTCTTCTAACCAAAGTGCAACCCCAGTCTCGAGCGTATCGTTTGTTTCTAACATTGAGCAAGAACCAACGCAGGCAGCCAATACAATATCGACATCGAACGCGTCTGGAGCCATTGGATTTCACAGAGTTATAGACAATGATTATAACGAGCTAGTCACTAACCCGGACTCGGTGTCAAGCCAATATTCAACAGCTGGCGATGATTACGAGAATAGCAACACTCACATGCTTGGTGACGACATGTCAGTGCATATGAATATCAATGATAATAAAGCGTACTCTATATACTATTCGGGTGGTAATCAGATCCAGCAAATTGATACCAAAGACACGCCAGCCGTACACTCATCGATGCTGGGTAAAGTGATAGCTGGACAGAAGCTACTACCGGCGGTGCCGTCAGCAGTATCCACCGGCAAAAAACTGCCCACCATTAATGGTAAATCGGGGCTGCTAATTAAGCAGCAACCAACTGAGATCTTTGATGATGAATCAGATGATGATCTCACTGAATATTTTATGGGACACCCCGATAAGGTTGACCATGAACCGAATTATTGCATCGATAGTGAGCAGGATGATTACTACATGGATCCTCAGCAGACGACACCGTCAAGTCGAGGTGCAAATGATTATTATGAACAAGTTAGTGCAGGTTATGACTATCGAGAGGATTTCTTTAATGAAGAGGATGAATATAAATATCTTGAGCAGCAGACTCAACAGCAGCAGCATCAGTATCAGCATCAGCACCAATCACAAAAATTATTGCTCAGTCATAAGCAATCATCATTAGACTATGTGGACGATGAACAAAACGACGATTTCTTGAACGAGACTTATCAAAGCGATGAGGACTGTGGCAATTATCTAGACGAAAGCTCGAGTGGTAGCGTTGGTATTGCCGAAGGCCGTAAACAACAAGCGGAGGATAACGGCTTCATTACGGGTACGACCTCCATTGCCACTATGGGCATGAATACAACTCCAGCTATCGCCAATACTGCTGAGCGTAGTTCGCTTCGCACCAGCAAGGCTGCAGGGATTTGCCTGCAGCTTGGAGAGGGTCACCAGCAAATTAAAAAACAGGACAGCATTATTATAGAAGAAGAAGAATCAAGTCCGATAGATTTAAACAACGATTGCCGTGTCGCAGCACACATGTCGCCTGAAGGAGACGCTGATGATGATGATCAACTGGCTGATCTGTTACCCACAGGAGGCCAGCCCCAAAAGAAGAAGATTCTGATGCGAGGCGAAACTGAAGAAGTTGTTAGCGGTCATATGCAGATGATACGAAAGCCGGAGATTACGGCTAAGCAGCGATGGCATTGGGCCTACAACAAAATCATAATGCAGCTAAATGTGAGTACCTGATTATATAAATATTACATAGAAATTATTTTTAAAATTTGTGATAAGCGTATAAATAATTTCTTATTTAGAGCTTTAAGATGAGTTTTGGGGGATTGGATAAAAATTTATCATACTGTTTTAATATCTCTTTTAATCCATTCAAAAATGTCTTATTTTGTTGTTGTTTTAATACCCTGAACTCAATGAAAATGGGTAAAAAGGGTATGATAGGCAGATGGATGCATTTCCGACCCCATAAAGTGTGTATATTCTTGATTAGCATCCAAAGATGACTTGATGTAGCCATTTCCGTCTGTCTTTCCGGCTTGCCATGTGTCCGTCTAGCTGTCCGTCCGTATCTATTAACGCGACGATCTCAGAACCTTTAAGAGCTAAACACTTAAAATTTTGTCTGATAGCTTGCTTCGTATTAGCAGAAATTCTATATACATTTTTACTTTTTACCGCTTACGAAGACTGACGCTCTGCGTCATGACAAACAGAACCATGTATACAGATAAGATAGTAGCTCCTGCCTTTGAGCATAACAATGAATATGCTTGACAGTATGAGCGAAGGGTAAACGAATAATATTGATAAGCACCGGCATTTACATAGTCGTTAATTAGGTGATGGTAGTACTTACACATGTATATGTGTCAAATATATGCATGCATATGTATACGCATGTTCGAGCATACATCGCGCTAATTATTTTAAGACCCAACAATTTGTTTTTGCTATTGCCAAGTTGTTATACGAGAGCCGCGCAGTGTGTGCAAAGTGTTTGAAACCTCAAAATGAACTTGATATTCGCATTTCTTAGCGATCGAATCAACAAAGGAAAGGGCCAAGACGAGCCGCACATCGGCAATCAGCAGCTGATAACTCCAACTGCGGCAGAGCGCACCCGAAAATTTAGCTGTCTTCTAAAGCACCAACGCGACAGTGTCGTTTGTTTTGTAAGTAGGTTTTAGCCAAGATTTTGACGGAGAATAAATTAAAAATTAAATGATTTCAAATCATATAACTGATTTGCAATCAGAATAACAATGTAATATTCCTCTAAATGAGTAAAAATGTTCGGTGACACAGATCTTCGGGAGATTTATTTATTTATTAATTGTGTTTTCTAACAAAAACCAACGTGAAACGATGTAGCTGTAGTAATTGTCTATCATATATAGTCCTTGGTCTTGTGTGTACAGGATAGGTGAACATTTTGAACATTTTTATTATACTTTTAATTTGCAATTCAGCGACAAAGAGTAATACATATGTCTATCATGAAAGCTCAAACAGACACATATAATATATGAATCTATTTATTTACTTTATATTTACCCCATAGAGTATTAAACAGATGCAAAGAGACTTTTGGATCAAAAGCTCTTTTTCAAAATACTTGGTACAAGATACCGAGGTTGCAAACAAAATATTGCAAACACAACACCCGGCTGTCTGCAGCACTTCTGCCGATGCCCACAATTCTATGACAACTTCAAAACAAAACAACCACAATCAAAACAAACGACTCGACAATGAAAAAAATAATACCACAATTTTTGCTATGCCTTTTTGTTTGATGCTGCAGACTGCTATGTCTATAATTCGGAAAGTCAGGTGTTCTTCTCCACTCGCTTTCAACTTGCAAGCAGATCGGCAGATTTTTGAAATTTTCATTTTTTGATCAGCAAGACACCTTTTCTCAAAATAGGGTATTTAAATTATTCATAAGCAATGTAACCAAATAGCACAAATCATCTTATACATATATACATTTTTATTTAATGTCTTTAAAAAATAGAATTTTGTATTTAGTGTGCAACTATTAGTACAGTCAATAATAATTGTTTTCTTTATAAATTATATACCATTCTTATAAAAAAGATTATCAATGCTGCGACCCGCCAAATAGTTGTTTAGGTGTGTCTCATCTCACACATATTGGTGCAAATCTGCATATATGTATGAGTCTGCTAATCCAAGGGAAGTCTATGAATTTAAAAAGATTACATCGTTCTGTTGCGCATGTGACGTCACAGTCCAAGGCTTTTTATGTGCCATCATTTCGTATATAAAATTATTACATATGCCAACAAATTATTTACTATAAAAGACCCCATTAATAAGTTATTTAAATTGATGTAAAGGTAGAAATATATACTAAACATCAGAAGAAATAAAATTCTATTAACCGTGACGTCATAATATATGATGTTGGGCGCTGGGCGCGTAACCCTTTGATCTGAATGCCATGGCTTGCTGGCATTCAAATTTTCTACCTACTTGCGCCGAGACTCGGCTCTGCAGCAACAACATTACTACCCAATTGTGATGTTGTTGTTTCTACGCGCTACCTTGTAGGAACGACAAAGAAACCCGCAAAGAACACAGTGGCATTATTTGTCCCTTTTCTTTGCACCGAGTTTCTATGTCCTTAATATGGCTCACAAACCTCCTGTTGATCAAAACGAGGGATGAAGAACAAATTGAGTTCCGTGCGCACTGTTGTTGTTTTGCAAGTGATTTGTTGTTGCTTCTTATGGTAAACGAGCTTTATTTTTATACCCTTGCAGACGGTATCAATTTTGTCGTGAAATGTGTAACGCATAAAGGAGACATCTCCGACCCCATAAAGTATATATATTCTTAATCAGCATCAACAGCCGAGTCGATATAGCCATGTCCGTCTGTCTGTTTCTATGCGAACTAGTCCCTTAGCTTTAAAACTATCTTATTTGTCCCTTTTCTTTGCACCGAGTTTCTATGTCCTTATTATGGCTCACAAACCTCTTGTTGATCAAAACGAGGGATGAAGAACAAATTGAGTTCCGTGCGCACTGTTGTTGTTTTGCAAGTGATTTGTTGTTGCTTCTTATGGTAAACGAGCTTTATTTTTATACCCTTCCAGACGGTATTATAATTTTGTCGTGAAATGTGTAACGCATAGAAGGAGACATCTCCGACCCCATAAAGTATATATATTCTTAATCAGCATCAACAGCCGAGTCGATATAGCCATGTCCGTCTGTCTGTTTCTATGCGAACTAGTCCCTTAGCTTTAAAGCTATCTTAATAAAACTTTGCAGAACTCCCTCTTTCTGTTGCACGCAGCACATATGTGAAAACCAGCTGGATCGGACCACTATATCATATAGCTACCATAGGAACGATCGGTCGAAAATTAAGTTTTTGTATGAAAAAACATTTTGTTTATCAAGATATCTTGACCAAACTCGGCATTTATTAGTTTTACTTTACTCCTCATATATATGCAAAATGCTATTAAGATCGGACCACTATATCATATAGCTGCCATAGGAACGATCGGTCGAAAATTAAGTTTTTGTATGAAAAAACATTTTGTTTTTCAAGATATCTTGACCAAACTCGGCATTAACTATTTTCCCTGTGCTTCTTAGATACGGGCAAAGCACTATAAGCATTATGAAAAGGTTGGGTCTGCAAGGGTATTAGATCTTCGGCGTGCCGAAGATAGCCTTTCTTTCTCGTTTGTACTGAGGTTGGCTCCGCAGAAAATATGTATTTCTAAGTCGATGCAAAAAGCTGAGAGCAAATTATATTTTTATCTTTTTCGTTCTCACGGCAGTGAGAGCGCAATGCTACTGATCCAGCTGGTTTTCACATATGTGCTGCGTGCAACAGAAAGAGGGACTTCTGCAAAGTTTCATTAAGATAGCCTTAAAACAGAGACTAGTTCGCATAGAAACAGACAGACGGACATACATATAATGTATTTTTGAACCGCTTACTCTACAGGAAAGTGCTGGGCGCACACTCTTCCATATGATTTGTACGATAGAACGGCAACGCTGTTAACTTTTATCTCGCTCGCACTTACTCTCAGCTCTCAATGCTCTCTCTATGTTTAGGGATCGTTTCAATGTGTGTGTGTGTGTATTTGTCCGACCAGCAAAACTGCGCACAAATTCAATTTTTCCCAAATGCTGAGGCATTTCTACCCTTTTGAAGGCACGAGTAATATGAAATAGAGAAAGGGTTTGCCACGTCGATGCGAAATTCTTGCATTTTAGCTCGCTATCGTTGGTAAGGGTACCCAAGCGTTGCCATGTGTGCATTTAGAATATTTTGGACTCGCTATACACGCATACTTGCATATTTTGTGTATGAATAGAAGCATTTATGCGCTTGTGTGCCTGTTGCTTGCCTGCCTGCCTGTCCCCGATGCAAATTTAACAAGATTTTAGGATTTCTGATCTTGGACCTTTACACACAGACACACACAGACAAATGTCTGTGAATGGGCTGATCATGGGCGCAAAAGAAAATACATTATTGGCACGCGTCTGACGCGCGCCTTATTTTTTGAGATTTTGATGAATGAATGTTGACCCCTTATTACCAGCAGCAGTTCGTAGGGTCGAATGGGTCAACTTTTGGCAAGCACCTGCATATGGAGGTCAAGTGACTGATCACCAAAATTATGAAAACTATAAATATATAATCGCTCCTTTTTTTTTTTAATTTGGTATATTTTAATATTTTAAAGATTTTTATTTTTACTCAAATTTTATTAAAAATCATAAAAAAGAAGGGCACGCGTCTTTTGCGCCCATGATCAGCCCATTCACAGACATTTGTATGTGTGTGTCTGTGTGTAAAGGTCCAAAATCAGAAATCCTAAAATCTTGTTAAATTTGCATCGGGGACAGGCAGGCAGGCAAGCAACAGGCACACAAGCGCATAAATGCTTCTATTCATACACAAAATATGCAAGTATGCGTGTATAGCGAGTCCAAAATATTCTAAATGCACACATGGCAATGCTTGGGTACCCTTACCAACGATAGCGAGCTAAAATGCAAGAATTTCGCATCGACGTGCAAACCCTTTCTCTATTTCATATTACTCGTGCCTTCAAAAGGGTAGAAATGCCTCAGCATTTGGGAAAAATTGAATTTGTGCGCAGTTTTGCTGGTCGGACAAATACACACACACAAACATTGAAACGATCCCTAAACATA